AGCTAGTAAAATAAAGTTATTATATACTAGTGCCCTTAGTATATATTATTAATATTATATAAGATAAAAAAGAGTATTATATAATATAATAAAACTAAGAGAATTAATTAATTAATTAATTTCCTAATTAAATATACTAGCTACTTAGGTAAGGCTATAATTATAAATATTTATAGATTAGTAAAGTACTTAACTTTATAATTTATAATATATAATATTATATTTTACTAAAATATATTATCTACTAATATTAAGAGTTTTATAAATATTAATTTAATCTTAATATTCTTAGTACTAATATATAATAAATTAATTAAATTATATTCTAATTACTCTTATACTTAGTAAAAATAGCTTTTTATAAAGATATAAGTATTTAAAAATACTATATTTTAATACCTTATAATACCTTATATACTAACTAAGGTAGGCGTTATTACTAGGTACTATAGGATACTAAAGTATAATATTTCTAAACACTAATTCCTTTATAACTATATCTTTTTACTAGTTATAAAGTATATAAAAATAAAGTATAATTATTAGTCTATATTTTAATATATTTTAGTAGTTAAATAAAGCTATATATGTAGACTAATAAGCGTTAAAAAATGCCGTGTTTTGGTATAATGTGGTGTGATGTGGAGTAAATTATGAATTTGAGTGCTTGAGTACGAAAAAGCAATAATGTAAAAATCGGTCCTAATGGTGCACCGTAGCTTATCCCAATTCGCCCAATCTTTTTTATCATGGAAGGTTGGGCAGCTCCACTCGCCCCCCATGTACCTCTTGGCGTATACAAAGTGGCTTGTATACAAAGTGGCTTGTATACATGGACAGGCGATGCTGCACAAAAGTCATCAACCATAAAAAGTGTAAAAAAAAATTATTAATTGGTTATATCCTTTACTTTTCAACGTCTTCTCTGCATGTGAACTCTAGGTAGCATCTTAGTCGTGTAACTATAAAGTCAATTCTCGGCGTGTGCAGAGTGGCATGTGTACATTGGTGCTGCTCGCAAAAAAGCCGCCAACCGGAAAAAGTCTAAAGAACCTTAATTCATAATATCGTTTATTCTTCAACGTCTTCTCTGCATGTATACTCTAGGTTGTTTCTTATACGTCCAACTAAACGGTCAATACTCGAGTCCTACGCTGAGCACGATTTCAAGGCTTCGCCTCGGGCCTCAAACTTGGCCCAGCCACGTTTATACATGTCATGACTAGGAATTGTTCCGTAAGAATATTCATATATCATCTTCATTGGTTTCTGTTATCCATTGTGCTCTCTCCGTCATTAGTTCCAAGCTATCGTGCATCGCTGTTGTCGTCAATAGTAGTACAAAACAAGTTAAATCGACTTTCTTAGACACGGCCATCCATCCAAAGTCCAGATACCTCGCTCAAATCTGTACCATATCCTTAATCACCGGCGTAACTAATCATGTGCGGGGTATGTAGCATCTCGTTTCCGGTTCTCTGCTCCTCAAGTCCCTGTTGCACATCTTGTCGTCCCCTCTTTCGTCGCCCAGCTGGCATCGATTCCTCATCTGGCACCCTCTTTCTTCTCACTTCACCACGGTTTGTCGCTTGATGCCGAGTATTAGAATCCAATCGAGAGATCGCTTGTAGCGTTTGAAAGTCGTCGACAGAGTACGTAGCTGTTGCTTCGTCGTTCTGAGATTCCACATCCGTCATTTCATCGCAAAGACTCGACTCATACATCGCTTGTGGCACTTGATCATCATCGGCAGAAGTGGTTTTTGGCCCACTGCTTGAAGGTTGCACACCTGTTGCAACGGCCAGAGTCGATTTATCGTTAGCGGTGCTGTGCATGGATGTACCTGCGTCTCCCGCCATCGCTCTTGCTTCTGATTGTCTTCGCTGATGCTCTTGAGTTCTCTCCATGGCTTGTTGGAGCCTCTCGCCTTCCAAGATGCGAAATTGTCCGTCGCTACAGTAGTACGATACCCCTTCCAGCTGCTCAAGCTTGACGGGGCGCGATTGTCCCGTCAGCGTCCATTGGAGTCTCGAGTCCACCTTGCGATTTCGATTCTCCTTCTTCTCTTCCGCCGTCTTGGGAGTCGTTTTAGCACCGGGGGGCTTGGCTATGGTCTTTGAAGTCGCCGGCTCGGCCCGTCTCGTTTGCTGGAGTGCCATTGACGCCGGTACCTGGGGGTTGGTGAAGAAGTTTTCGCCGCTGTTCACTGCAATATGCCCATTCGTCGCATCAGGGGCAGAGAACTGGGAGAATTTGATAGCTGGTACTTGTCCCCCTTGCGTCATCACGGTTCTCACTTGGGCTACGGGTGGCCGAGACGGTTGTAGGTCCGTCATCACAGTTAGGCCCGTGCTGGTATCATACAGGACGGGCTTCAAATGATTCGGCTCAACGTTGTCTCTGAGGGTTTTCCAAGCCTCGAGAATTTCTTTCGGACCCCGTAGCTGTCCGTTGCTGCCCTCCTGCCGGAAAACGCCTGGGTAAAACTCGTCATATGCCCAGGCAATGACATTGGCACACTGAGCGCCGTGGATAGATGGTGGGTTGTTCCTCACAATGTGCTCCACAACCGACTTTTCCAATTCGGTCTTCTGAACCTTCTTGTGTGGCCGGAACCCAAGCATCGTGCCGCTTCCTCGCATCTCCTTGTCAATTTGCGTCAAGAACAGCTTGGCGGCCCATGCTGCACCACGCACGAATCCATCCGTAATGGCGGCTTTTGTTGCATTCTGTGAGGACATGCCGAGCTTGATGTCCTTCTTGAGGAATGGCTTGACGTGCGGCTCGACAGTGTTAGGGCTGGTATCTAGCCAATTTGTATTTATCTCGCCGACGCTCCATACGGGGCGGAAATCTCGACCTCTCAGAAACTCGTTACCATTGGTTGTGGGAGGCTTTTCTGCGCGAGTTGAGGAAGACCGATACCCTTCTGCAGTGTAGTAGGCCTCTCGACTATGGCCTGGGGTCATTGGGTGCGTCTGCGTTTGTAGTTGACCTGGAATCATTGGTAGCGTCTTCATTTGTACTTGGCCTGGGGTCAGCGGGTGCGTCTGAATCTGTAGTCGGCCATGAGCAGGTGCCATAGATTGCTGTGATTGCTGAGTAGCTGGACGCGGTGCGTGCATACCAGGCTGGAAACTATTCATGTTAGAAAACTGGCGAGGATCCTGGCCCATCGTTTGCTGTGGAATTCGGCGCGGGTCCATCGAATGTTGCTGACGCGACGGGAAATTGCCATGTTGAAGGTACTGAGGGTTCTGATGGTTTTGAAAGTATTGAGGGTGCTGAGGGTGCTGAGGGTGCTGAGATTGTTGCTGAGGGTGCTGAGCATGCTGAGCATTCTGGATAAAGTCTGGATTTTGAACATAGAATCTTTGGTTTGAATAGTTTTGAGGCTCCGAGGCATGCTGGGGCTGCTGAAAGTGCTGCGGTCGCTGAGAGCTCTGCAATGTTGGAGGGCCTGGCATTTGTTGAATCTGCTGAAAAGACATAGGCTGTGACTGCATAGGTTGTGACTGCATAGGCTGTGACTGCATAGGCTGTGACTGCATAGGCTGTGCGGGCATGCGCTGCGGAACCTGCTGTTGCTGCTGGGTGTACTCTTGCCCCGGAAGATGATACAAGTGTTTTTCCAACTCTGGGGGCAGAGCTAGATTATTTTGTGCACCATGCTGGACAGAGTACTGCCTTCCCTCGACCGGGGTTTGTGGTATTTCGTGTGGCTCGAGATACTTGATTTGGCCATCCGCACCAATGTCTGGAGGAAGGCGAGAGACGCGGCGTCGGGGAGAGGCATTCATGACCAGTGCCGGCTCGGTTTGAGGAGCGCCTAGTGTAGCAGCAGAGCACACTACGGTGCCAGCCGCCATACCTGTGGCCTGGCCTGTCGTCGTGGCAGGATATGACGCCGAGTTGCTGGTCGTTTGGTTATAGTCATTCGCGGCTAGATCCGTAATAGTAGTAAACGTTGTTGGTTGTTGGTGAGAAGAAGGTTCTGGCATGTTGGTGGTATTGATATTATGTTCGGCCGCCATATTTCTCTCGTCAAAACCTTCTCCGGCACCGGTGGTATTCATGCATACGTTGCTAATGACAGTGTCGGGAGTGTTGCGAAGGGACGCCGACGCCACTGGAGACGTTGACAGAAGAGACGTGTTGAAGCTACCGGTATCTTGAAAAGCATCATCGCCTCCAAAATCTCTGATATAAGAGTCCCAATCTGTAGTGTTACTGGCAAAAGGATCGGAAAATAGGCTGTCGGAAGGGAGCTGTCCGTCGACGCCGGTGTACTTTAGCGGAGGATCAGTGCCAGCATTGTCAGATGGGGCAACATCAGAGACGGCCATGCTCGGAAAGAAGACATTGTCCATCCTGAGATTGAGTTTTTTATTGGATCAAGGGAAAAAACGCTTGCCAGAGGCAAAGGCCAACGCTGGGCGTCAGGCGGCGTGCCGTTGTATCGGAACGTCGAATGTTGAATCAAGAGATTGGCAGCCTGGATCTTGCCTGGTTTATGCCTCTCAGCTGGAGCGAATGTTGATAGAGGGGTCTGAGGGAAGTTGTAAAGGGAGGGGTATCGGAGTGCGAAGCAGAGAGAAGAGTGTGTCTTGGTATCGAAACGCGTGCAAGAGAATAGTGTAAAAGAGAAAATCGAATGCGGCGGATGGACAAAAGAAAAGCCGGGAAGGCAGGTACAACGCTCAAGGTGAACATCAACTGCATACCACAATATCTAGGCAGAAGAGGAAAAAAAATCAAAAAAGTAATAATAAAGTGGCGTATGACTAAATGAACAGAGTTGGGATGGTAGATGTGAAGACGAACTGAGGGCTGCTTTGGAGGCGGCGCCTCGGTGGAGCCAGTGCCAGTGAGTCGGGAGTTGACAACTCGTGACAGTACAATGTATGAGGAACCCTAAATTAGCTAGTTACCTAGTAATGGGGTTTTCTAGGTATTAGAGGTAGGCAGCCACGGTTAAGTTTAGTTTTTATTACAGATGGGTGGTAGCAAGCCCACGGGCCAAGTTTGCGCAGCAACAACTTACAAGCGGGCGCTGGCTGGGTCGAGGCGCTTTACCTGTTTTTCAAAGTTTGCCTGCTCGGCGGAACGCCCGTAATTGGATAAATAGCGACCGTCCCTTGATATTTTGTTCGGAAAATCTCCTTCCGTTTTGATTCTACCCTTCTCTGCGGGATGCGCAGAGCGGCCACGCAACTACCTAGTCTCCAGTGTCGCGCGTTATGTGAAGCTAAACCAGGTGGTCAATTGCTGGTCAAATTTCGGGTAGGACAGATCGGTTTCGACAGGGATTGGCAATCTGGCAATAAAAAGTGAGACTGCAGGACTCGGAGACAAAAAATCTTGTTCGATTTCGCGACAGATGGACGGGGGGCAAGGGAGGTGGCAGTTGTTGTCAGGGGGGGGGGGGGGGAGGTGGGCGACTCACACCCTTTTCTTGTGTAACGATGCCGTCCACACCCTCCCTGTGCTTAAGGTACGCAAGCCGCAAACGTGACTTGGACTTCCTGCGGCCAGTGTACAAGCTGAAGATGTCTCTTTTTTTCGTATTTTCGATTTCGTTTTGGAATATACTTGGTCTGGGTAAAAAGATAATTAATCATAGATTCATGAGAGCCAAATATTGATGACCTCGATTGATGCAAGGCTGACACTGACAAATTCAGGGTCCCCCCTCACTCTTACCTAAAAGTGACATTCCCTCCCCTCATTCTTACCTGAAAGTGACATGCCCCCAGCCTTCCCAGCCATCGACGCAGATGGACCTGCAGCAAAGTGGCTTTTCGACAGCCCACTAGCACAGCCAAGGCAATGTGCATAGCTCGATAAATTGAATGCACCATACACCAGTCTGTCAAAGTATATTCATTTTCTGTATCCAGGGTCGCAAGTATCAAAGTAACCCCACCAATCACATTCAAACGCCCCAAACTCCAAGATAGCTAGCGTCTTTGATTTAGCCCGGCTGTCGCTGCCGAGACACATATGGCCGCTTTGCTGACTCTGCATCCGTTGTTTGCGCGCAGGCCACCCAAACCTCTCCAGATCTAAGCATTCCCATTCCTTCAAGTCTCATTTGAGTCAAAGGTCGGCGAATCGCCATCCTTATCTTATTACGCCACCTCTTCAACCATTTTGGTCGTGCCACCACCCTTGCTCGGTGGCCCAAACACGTCGCCCACAGGCCCGCTCATGATCTCCTCGGGTACGGCAATCTTGCTACCGCTCTTGTTGCTCACCCACCGAATTAGCGTCTCGGGAGGTCTGGCCTCGGCATCGGGTGAGTTGCCGCGCGCCCCCTTCTTGCTCGTTTTGGGTGCTTGCTTCTTGAGCAGCTTGTTGATAGTCTCCATCTGTTGGCGCGGTGATTAGAATAACCTTGTTTGCATTTCGCGCGGTTCGGAACTTTATCCGCTCTGTGACGTACCTTGACCTCTTCGTTACGTTTCTCGCTCAGATTTCGTCTGCGCCGGGCCATTTCCTGGCGGCGCATAGACAATTCTTCAGCGGTGAAAACCTTTTTTGCTTGCACCTCTGTGAAAAAGTGGTTAGTTTTACGTATGTGTCCGGGGTGTTCTTGGCACGCACCATCAGACAGCTTCATGTATTCTTGTGGCTGCTCGTCAAAGCGCGCTCTCTGGCGCTTGGTCATCTTGGCCAGGTCCAGTGTGCCGACGCGGCTGCCATCCTCGTCGCTATCGAGTTCTTGAATATCGGCTTCGCCTTCAGCGTCCTCTTCTTCTTCCGGCTCCTCTTCCTCCTCCTCCTCCTCCTCTTCCTCCTCATCTTCTTCCTCCTCTTCCTCACCATCTCCAGCCACCTCAATTTCCTCTCCTTCGGCATCTTCATCTGCCATGGTCTCCTCACCCATGCCCAACGTTTCATCAGCCAAGTCACTGTCGGGCTCACTGAGCTCGTCGTCATCATCGTCATCGTCATCTGCGACAATCCGAGACGCGGCGGCTCTAGCAGCGGTGCGGGGCTTTGCCGAGCGCGAGACTTTGATGGTAGTTATCTTGTTGCGACGGGGAGGCGGTGCTGCGTCCATGTCGACATCTCCGTCGGCGTCAAGCTCCTCGCCCTCGGCATCCATGTCCACCTCTTCCTCACCTTCGGCATCCTCTTCTTCGAGATCCACCTCGACTTCATCCTCCATGTCGTCCTCGTCATCTTCCTCGGGACTGGAGTCGACAACGTAGCTCTTCTTGGTGCCACGATTGCGTTTGCCCGTGACAATTTCGCCGCCATCAAACTGCTCTGAGCGACGGGCACCACGCGCTGGCTGACGCGAGCGAGAGGGCATGCTGCCTGATTCCGGAGACGAGGGCGCGTCGCGATAAACAGCAGAGCGTCCTGAGCGGCGGGATGGAACGGGACTATCGCCGGATCTGTCATTGTCAGCCCATTTGGACTGCACCGAGATGTTCTCGGTCGCCTTGGTCGCGGCGGAGCGTTTGGGGCGAGATGCCATGATGAGCAAGATGTGGGTGAGTGAGTGAGTGAGTGCGTGCGTGTGCGTGTGCGTGTGCGCCGAGTGGCAATGCGCTAAATTGGCAGCTCGCTCGCAAGCCGGTGATGAGCAATGGATGGCGGGCTCGGTGATTGCCTGGTTTGATGCTCGTGGCTGCGTGTTTGCTGATGAGCCAATAGGGGCAAGAGGCGATGCGGGAGCGCAGCGGTGACAGGTTGCAGATTTTTGGTGTTTGCCGCTCGCAGGCGCGGGCCAGTGCCAGCAGGCAGGCCCGACGACTTGAATTTGGCGGCCGACGGATCCTGCTTGGTTGCGCGCCCGCGAGGCGTTGATTGATGCTCCGCGCCACACTCTGCTCACCCAATCTATTTACTCGGTATAGCTCCAAAACACTTGCCGTTGCGACTGAAAAAATTCAACGTACCTATTCTCGAGCTAAAAACGGCTTGTAATCGACTTTGTTGCAAGTCGTAACCGAGGTTTATGGGATGGCGCCACACTGTGAGCAGGTGCTGGATTATCTTTGCGACAGAATTTGGAGAGTTGGCAGGGAGCTGTGCATGCCAACGACGTTGGGTCGATTTGGGTGCAGGCTCGAGTCGCGTTACCCAACTTGCCAGCGTGGGTACCAGGTACTCTGTACTCCCAGGGCTTATCCGTAGAGCCGTAGGTACCTGTGGCGCAGCTAACATTCGCACTACCTAGGTAGGTAGTCAATACTGGTAACCCAACTCAACTCAGTCCTGACTGTTCAACATCAACCAATTCAACAGGACAAAACAGACTAAATTGATCCTTTTGCATCAAAATTTAAAGTAACCATCTCAACGGCACAGACGGATGATTTATCTCGTCATCGACTAACCTATGGCAATAATCTGCATGGAGCCCTACTGCGTCGCGAAAGGAATATATGCCACCGCTATCTGTCTCCAACACTGCCCACCTTCCCGAGAGAGTAGTTCGAACAATTTGGCTTTCATGGAGTTTTTGCTTCCTTGGCCCAAAAACAGCGTCACACAGCCATAAATTAGGCAAACTGATAACTAGACTCTTCAGCCATAAAATAAGCGGACCGATAGACTATCAGTATTTTTGACCAACCAGTACCCCGGAGTTGAACCCCTGTTCAGAAACCCTATCGAGAGTGACGCCCGCGCATGAGACTGCACACCCCTTGGCAGATCGTTGCCGGACGTCCGTAACGCTGACCGCCGCGGCGGAGATACCCTCGTTCAGTCAGCCAAGGTGTTATACTCTGAGATTATGGTGCGGCGCCTCTCCGTCATCAGGCGTACGGCTTGGCAGGCCGGGGGCATGAAGCTGGTCCTTGTCACAGCCGTGCAGAATGGTTGGGCGGCTAGTTTCAAGCGTTGCGTACATACAAAGTATGTACTGGCCGCTTAGAACGCAGAAAGGGCTTGGCATCTTTCGATGATACTTTTCAAAATGTAAACTCGATAGGGTCATGTCCTCCTAGGAACTGACCACGTTGCCCTGACGCACGCTCATCCTCACTGCCATGTGCCTGAATTCTCGCCTATTGCAACCAACTAAGAACCCAAAGCCGCCAACTACATTTCTAAGAGTTCATTTATACGAATCCTATATTATTTACACATTTTCTCTGTCATTATAAACTTTATGTTTTATTCTTTTCTCGCGCGACCAAGTCGCTTGCTTCGAAATGCCCATGTACCCTGTACGGATGCAAAAGTCTGTTTCAAATAACGGATCACTATAGCATCTATAGAGCTTATATATACATTCCCCAAGACTTTGCATTTTATTATCGAATTTCACAATATCATCCCGTCTTGTTGCCACCCATCTGTGAAAGTTCGATCGATTCCCCGGGTCTGCGATGCCATGCAGCCCCACTGTAGCTTTTGCCTCGGCATCCAGCACTGGGGATCTTTCTTGTCCGGCAGCCTTCGACCCACTGACCATGATCAGCTCTCATCACAAGACGATCCAGTTCGTCCTTCAATTCCAACCCCCCCCAAGCACTATACCCTGTTGCCCATACTCTTCACAGAAGATTGGTGCAACGTAAACCAGCAATCGGATGAAATGAGCGACTCGAACGACGACGGTATTCCTGCGTGGCAGCGGACATCCAGCTCGCCAACCTCGTCAGACACTGAGGCGACACCAGCGGGGAGCACCGACGCCGGCAGCCACGCCGGCAGCCCAACCGCAGAAGACAAATTGACGATTGCGAAGCGTTTTTTGGACGATGAAAAGGTCAAGAACGAACCGCGCGATAAAAAGGTGGCCTTTCTCAAGTCAAAGGGCGTCGAGGACGACCACATCCAAAAGCTCCTAGGCGACACCCACGAAACCGTAAGACGTCACATATCAAACACCTACACTACTCTTTTCCTAACACAATTCCGCTCGTCTAGACTTCAGACAAGGAAATCGAGGCGTCTTCGCCCACGCCGCAAAAGTCCATAGCCGCCACATCCACCACCGACCGCGCGCCCATTGTCACATACCCCGAGTTCCTGACCAAACCGCAGCGTCCGCCGCCGCTCGTCACCACTCAGGGCCTCCTCAACACGCTGTACGGCTTCGCGGGGCTCTCGACACTCGTATACGGCGTGAGTAGGTACGTCGCCGAGCCCATGATTGCGAGCCTCGACGACGCGCGCCAGGAGCTGCACGACACGACTGCCAGCCGCCTCGATGCGCTCGTCCACCAGCTCGAGCGCACCGTCTCCGTCGTGCCGCCGCCCAAGCACGCCGCGGCGCTCGCTGCCAGCAGCAGCCTGCCTGCATCTACCACCACGGCCATGGCCAACGACGCCGACGAGGATGAGGACCCCGCGGAAATGTTTCACCGCGACGTCGGCACGCAGACATCGTTTAGCGAAGCGCTGCCGGCGGCTGGGCAGGGTGCCACCAACTCCAAGGAAGAGGCCAAGCAGCCCCCCGCACTGCAGCACGCGACGGGCGTGACCAAGCTGGCCAAGTGCGTCTCGGGCCTGCGCGACGCCGTCGTCTCGCAGAGCGGCGACTTTGAGGACATTAAAGCGCAGGTCGAGCATTTCCGGGAGGAACTCGACCGCATGACCTTTCCGCAAATGGACTTTACCCCCGGCGGCTACACCATGATGTCAACGATGGGCGGGTTGTCCAAAAACGAGCCGGACGACGAGGTGCGCAAGGTGCGGGACAATATTCGACGCATCAAGGGCGTGCTGCTGAGCACGAGAAGCTTTCCGGCTTCGACGAGATGAGGGGAAACGGTCAAGATAGGGGGGAACCGTGTAATGATATCAAAGTTGGTTTTCCGGCATTCAAGCGAAGGATCTTTTTTCCCCAATGTATAATAGAATGACAAAGGGCAAAGAAACGCGATGGACTTTTTTGTTAAACACAATGTCACTAGGCTAACTAGATAGGCAACTCATTCTGAAATTACTTCTCTGGATCATCAATCTTGTAATGTTCAAAAAAGGCCTTCCACGACCAAAAACGAATATGCTCGAATCCACGACCTGATCCTTGCTGCTTTCGATACCACTCGTACGTTGGCACATACGTAAACTGAGACTCCTTGTCGACGCGCGCAGCCATGGCCCACTGATGCAACCTATTCGTATATGGCTGAGAATTCAAAGAGCCCCCGTTCGGCGGAGGAAACAGTATGCGCTGTGCCGGCTCCTTTGCGGCCTTATCATCACCCGTCTCCGCGCCGCCCGGCGGCGCGGAGCCATGAACGGCGCTCCATCCACGATTCAACATGTCTGCGTGGCTCAGCGGAAGCCAGTCCTTAACTCTGCCCACGAGCACCTTCATCCAGTCGAGGGTAATGTCCAGCGGATCCGTGTACATGCCGGATCCCTTGAAACCGCCCGCCCAGATCTTGCCCAGTGGGAGTTTTAGTTTGGCATACTGCTCGGTCACTTCGGTGACGAGGTCGCGCTGCGCGGGCGAAAGGTCCGACATGGATATGGTCTGAGACCGGCGCGCCGCGTCTTTGAGGCGGAGGTCCCAGAATAGTAGCTCGGAATGTTTCCACGGTTTTCGGTGTAGCTCCATAGGCCGAACGAATGCCAGCCAAGGATATACGGGGGCTGCTTTGTCAAGAGGCTTGTCTGACATGTAAAAAAACCCAACTTGCGTGTTCTTCTTTCCGTATGTTCCCTCCATTAAACGACGAATATACTGTTGCGCAAAGTAGTCTACCCACTGACTGGCATCGCCGTATTGTGAAACGCCGTCATGCTGGTTGACAGCCCATGGACAGATTACGAGAGGATTCCACGAGGCCGCGTGCGCATCGGCGCTCACACTTCTAATATATGTGCTCAAACACTGCGGCGTATCGTCATGAACCAACTTGAAGCTCACGCGCTTCGCATGTGATGTCGCAACGTGACCTCCGGCCTGGGAAAACAGCCCCCGCAAGGCGAACCGATTGATGTACCTCGACAATCTTGCATCGTCGTCGTTGTCTGAGCAAATGACGCTGAATTTTCGAAACTTGTCGATCTGAGAGGTACTCCACCATCCAAACCAATTGACGAGACTTTGCTCATCGTTGCCGTCAATGCAAACTGGCGCGTACTTAACGGGAGATGTAATGTCCTCAGGGTCTTCTTCTACCAGCTTTGTCATCAACATAAATGTCTTGCTTCGCACCTCGGAGATTTCGATAGACTCAGCACCTTTCTTTTCTAGCGCCAGCGACATCAACCAGCCGTCCATATTGTGTGCAACAACTAGCTTGCCACGAAGGTATACAGACGCTCCGGCCGAAAAATTATGCCAAATCCACTTCAGTAGATTATACGCCTGTACGGGCTGCGAAATAAAGAAGCTAGGAGGAGCCATAACGGCGACGCCGGGTGGAAAAGCCCAGTCCAAAGCAATGCCAACTTGCTCCATATACTCTTCCTCATACAATGATTCAGAAATTGGTGGACACAGAGGGAGCCGAAAGATCCAAAATTTGTAGTCTTCGTGTCGACGATGGAGTACCTTCGACAATTGTGGCAAGCGATGCAGTAGTCGAATGCAATCCTGATGGAGGATCACTGCCCCTCTGGAACCCTCGATAAACCTTGCCCAGTGCCCTGATACAGCACAAGAACGAATCTCACAGTTTCTATTAGACACTCTCAGCCATCGACAGAGCAAATCTTCCTCTGCTTTTGCTGATGGTGGGAACATGAGAAAAAGACTATCCGGGATTGGGCGAGTTTTGTCCATCTGCTCATTGCTTGGTAATAGTTTGCGGTAGAGCTGTTTGTCGAAGATGGTGACGCCAAAGGAGTACGAAACATTGAACTCCAACGATAAATCGTCGACTTGAAAGCTCGTCGCAGGCGCAAACGCCAGATACTGCAGTGAATGTCCCGCCGGCGGTTGCGAAGTCGGGAGGGGACTTTGCTGCCAATCAAGAGATTTACTTGGGTAAATAACGAGGCAGAACTCTTTGCTGTAGCATAGCAAGCCAAAGGATGATGCATTCAGAAAGTCCACAATTGTCTCCAACTTATCTGCTTCAAGAGGTGAGCATATTGTTCCTGTGACCCAGACGCCTGAGCTAAGTTCGGTAGCACGCAACTGTTGCATGAGGTCTTGAGCGGTGCAGACGTGCGAGAAATTGAGGATTTCAAGCTCCAAGACTTCCCGATAGAAGACCATTTGCGAGTCTGCTGGCAGCGTAGAGACGTGAAACGAACAGGTTAATTTGGTAGGTCCAATGACGCAAGTCTTCAGTTGGCCGTAGCTGATATCGTCTCGGCCCTTGGAACGTGTATCGAAAGATCTTGAAGGCAAAGTCACCTGTCTATGAGAGTTGTCGGAAACGAAAAGACTAGGTTCGGCTTTGCTGACATTCTTTGGTTGAATCGGACCCGGCAAAGAGAACGTTACTCTTTTCATGGAATTTTTGGACTGTGCTGACTGTGCTGAGAGAAGAGACTGAGCTGGCTGAGGTCGCAGGGCTGGTAGAATAGACTGTGCGGGTGGAGGAGACGGTGCTAGTAGAGGAGACTGAGCTGGCCGAGGAGACTGGGCTGGTAGAGGAGACTGTGCGGGTAGAGTAGAATGTTCTGGTAGAGTAGACATGACTGGATCAGATGTGCCTTGAATAGACAGGATACTAGTTCTAGTCGTCTGTTCGACATCCGGTTTCTCTGCCGCCAGTTTTGCTTCGAAGGAGTTCTGGGTGTCCCTTTTTGTTAGAACTGTCTCAGTCAATGAAGCATCGGCAGACATTGCAGTCATGCCTGTGAGCAAAGGCGTAGCTGGCGGCGAACTTCCACTCGTATCGATGTCCATGGCGTCGCTGCCGAGATCAGTCTCAGCGCTCGACAGGTGTACTGCGGGGTTGTTCTCAGGAGATATCGATACGGCAGGCTCTATGGCAATACCAGCAAGAATCTGTCGCGGGCGTTCTAGTTGCTGATTTGCGTCTTGCATCACTGTATCTTGGATCCTCACACGTTGGATGGAGATTGAATTAGTACTTGACTCGGATGTTGTCACAACTTCGTCTTCTTCATCGGCCGAATCGCCATGCCAAGAGTAGGCACTAATCTCCAGGTCTGAGTCAGGATCTGAAAATAAATCATCGATCGATGAGCGACGAGAGCGGGCTTCGAAGATGTCTGCCTCCTGACTAGCAGGTTCAGTTGCAATGGCGATAACAGATTCTGGTGTGCCAGCAGGAAAAGATGCAACCGTATCGACAGAGACACACTCTGCCGCATTTATAATGGCAGGAGTATTGTCCTCTGTGGCTTTTGGCTGGTCACTTGGAGTGGCGTTGATCTCAGCGATTAGTTGCTCTAATGACTTTGGATATCTGGCCATTCTCAACTTTTTGCGCCGACGTATGCAGTTTCGCATTTCATGGCGAGCATATTTGGCTCGATATAGTTGTATTATTGCAATGCGCCACTCCTCGATATGAAGCCTGGATGCGTTGCGCTCTTGTTGGTTTTGTTTGTTCTGAGCCCATTCTTCCAGCAGGCTTTCTGGAAGGTGTTCTTTGGGCTCCCATGTGCATGCACTAAGAGGAAAGTCTTCCCATTCAATGAGATACTTGGTCTCGCCCTCAACCTGACCGTCGGCGAGAATTTGTTTCACTGTCCATTGCGTGTCTGGATCGACTTCGTCTTCAACAGTAGAGGTGAGGGAGATACTGTCGTCGTCTTTTGTAGCCATTATTGCGTATGGCTTCGCACGATGGACAGCTCGGGTAGACCTTCTTGGGCGCTGCCTGCCGCAGCAATTGGCAAATCAACGGCGTGCTGCTAGGGTATAACGGCGTCGTCGTAGAATGGCGACTCCAAGTCGATTCTATTGTTGGCTGGAGCGGAGGCCTAGGCACAGCAAACTCGGCCTGCGAACGACTGCGTGAGGGCAGTGCTGTGCCACGGTGATGCTGTGATGAAAGGGTGTAAGAGACGTATCCTAGTTACGGATGTGATGCTGTGCGATGACAAGGCACGACGGGCGAGCACTTCTTGATGAGCAAGATCAATTTTCATCGCCATGTGGCGTATGGAAAGAGTGGCGGTTTGATTTCGTGCAGCTGGCTGACGGCTGCATCTGCAAGGTCAGGGTAGCCAACGCACAAACGCCGGGCACGGCTGCGCGTCGACCACACCGACAGATCATGGCAAACGTCGTCACTTCGAAACGAACAAGACTCATGATGCAAGTCATAGGAAGTCAAGTGTTGCATAAAGTAGCGTCACAGATAGAAACCGCTCAATTACTACCTATCGCAAGCCGGGATTTAGGCGATGCAGATGCAAAGTTTGTTGGACGACAGGCAACAAAACAAACCAGACTAGGGGTGGTGGAGAGAAGCCGGCGTTGGTTTGCAGGTTGCTGTGGCTGTTGCAAAACTACCTCTTTACAAGCACGTGCAGAGAAGCTGAATATTTGTGTTGCCTTGTCTATCATGATCCCTCGTCTATTTAATCTCTTGTCAGTTTCCTTCACTTGTCTTGATCCATGTACTCGATTATTGCCGTCGTCTCTTAAATGAAGCGAGCTACGAGCATCGCCCCTCCCCCACCACGCGTGCCGAGCATCCGCAGAGCCATTCATTATTCGACCACTAATAAAAGTCTATATCAATGCAGTGATCTTGGTGAGTCGTCCCCTGGTGGCCCCTGTAAATTAGAGGTACCCCGCTGTAGCTGCCCCGCTAAATCACACAGGAGCGCTGTAATAGTGGCCGTGCGTGCCGTGGTACTTGAATTTCTTGTCTAAGGTACCTAATAAATCGCTTGCCGACCAACCGCCATTTGAATACTCCTTCGTTTGCTTCACTTCTTTCCTCCTTCAATTCTGCGAACGGCCTTTCTTTCTCCTCCCGACCTTTCAAACCTACCGCTCCTGATTCCTTTACAACGTTTACCCGTCATGTTGGCGGGAAGCAATGCGCGCATCCTGCGCTACATTGTTGTTGCCGGTATTGTACGTCACCTTTGTTCTTGAAGCTGGCCCGGCCTGCCACCTGCAGATTGCGCCACTCGTTGCCCTCAGGAAGCAAACAAGAAGTACAACTCATGCTTGGGCTATCAAGGACCATGAAGGACTCTGTTCAAATCGCTGACTTAAATAAACCCTTAGATTTTGATGTTCTTTTACCTCTTCTCCGGCTCTCGCTACGACACCATCTCGCGACCCGTTCCGGCCCCTAACCACGCCCAAACTGTTTCGCAGTCAAATCTTCAAAATGCTCCTGCTGCCAGCCGCCATGTCGATTCCACGCAAAAGCCCATGCCTGCCGATCGCGACCGGCAAGATGTGGTTTCCCCGAAGCCCGCCACCGTCAGCACCGATGCTCCCGCTTCCAACCCCCTCGCCGACATCGATCCTGGCCCTCGCGCCAATGCCACCTTTGTGACCCTCGCGCGCAACGCCGATGTCTGGGACATTGCTCGCTCGATTCGCCAGGTGGAAGATCGTTTCAACCGCCGCTTCAACTACGATTGGGTTTTTCTCAACGATAAGCCCTTTGACGACAACTTTCGCAACATCACCTCGGCCCTCGTCTCCGGCACGGCGCACTTTGGCCAGATCCCCGTCGAGCACTGGTCCGTGCCCGATTGGATCGACGAGGAAAAGGCCAAAAAGGTGCGCGAGGACATGAAGGAGCGCAAAATTATATATGGTGACTCCATCAGCTACCGCCACATGTGCCGCTTCGAGTCTGGCTTCTTCTTCCAGCACCCCATAATGCAAAACTATGACTTTTACTGGCGTGTCGAGCCTAGCATTGAGCTCTTTTGCGACATTCCGAAGGACCCATTTCGCTTTATGAAGGAAAATGGGAAAAAGTACAGTTTCACGATAAGCCTGCTCGAGTACGTCGACACCATTCCTACACTCTGGGACAGTGCCAGGAAGTTTATGGAGAATTATCCCGAGCATGTGGCCGCCGATAACTCAATGGAGTTTCTTAGCGACGATGACGGCCAGACCTACAACATGTGCCACTTTGTGAGTAAATACTGCTCGAGTCGGCTTCGAACTCTTACTAATCTAATCCAATAGTGGTCCAACTTCGAAATTGGAAGCCTTGAGTGGATGCGCAGCGATGCCTACGTCGAATTCTTCAATTCGCTCGACCAAGATGGCGGCTTCTTTTACGAGCGCTGGGGCGATGCCCCGGTTCATTCCATTGCTGCTGGCATTCTTCTCAACAAGACGGAGCTTCACTTCTTTGACGAGATTGCCTATTTTCACATGCCATTTACACATTGCCCCAATGATGCCCAGGCGCGCATTGACCTCAAGTGCCACTGCAATCCCAAGGATAACTTTGACTGGAGCAGATACTCTTGCACCTCCAGGTACTTTGAGATGATGGGCATGCAAAAGCCCGACGGCGTGGACTGAGCGGAGGACACTCTGCCAGGGTCATAGCAGCCCGTTGTCTTGTACCAACATTTGTCGAATTCGAGGGTTTGGCGCTTATATTACTCATGTTTACGATTTTACTTTCTTTGCTTTATCACTGCACAGAGAGAGGCACATTGTCAAAATACGCCCGTTGACGGCATTAGCGAGGGTTATTTGCTTTCAAGGAAATGTATTATACGGTAGATGCGGTGACATACCAGAAGATATGGCGTTGCGGAGGCTATTTGTCCGACTTGCTTCACATTCCGCCGATGCGGTCTTATCATGTTAGAAAACAGAAAGAATGACAAGAATCGTTGAATTTCACAAAGTGTTAATACAATGTGAGAGCCACAGGAAGACTGTGATTGTTCAACAGTGCAGTGTCGGATGCACATGCAATTGCTTTTGTCTTTTGTATAATACAGGTCGCCATGCGGCGACATATCGCTAATGCCCATTCGTACAAGATCTACCTCTAAATAATGTGTATGCTGTACATGCCGTCCCCCTGTGTATCCGAATCTACATCATTGATTCATGTGCCCCTTAACCAATGGTGGCCTTTTTCGGCTTCTTTGTGCCGTACTTGCTTCGACTCGTCGCGCGGGTACCTACACCAGCCTGTACACTGTCAGTTTCTTGCTCCCCCATTCGATTTTTTTTTAACTTGAGCAAAAGTCACGAATACAAAGATTCAGCGCCTCTGTTCATCATCATCACAAAAACGTACCAAATCCAGCGCCCCGCGGACAAGGTGGTACCGCACACCGGGACAGTCCTGCGCACGCCCGCCGCGCACCAGCACCACGCTGTGCTGCTGGATATTGTGGCCCTCGCCGGGTATGTAGGCCGTGACCATGGCGCCGCTCGACAACCTGACACGGGCCGTCTTGCGCTCGCCCGAGTTGGGCTTCTTGGGCCGCACGACGCCGACGCGCAGGCAGACACCCTTGAGCGCCGGACAGCGCGTGTTGGCGAGTGCGGGGGACACGGCGTGGCGCGCGCGCTTGCCCTTGCGGATGCCGCGCAGGACCTGGTTCAGCGTGGCGGGGCGAGGGACGGTGGTTGAAAAGCAGGCAGTCGTCGCGGCGAGGATGGGTGAGGCTGTTGGTGGTGCGGCGGCGGCGGCGAAGCGGAAAGGTGTGAGGAGGGAAGAGGTCGTCGTGGCAGCGGAGAGCAAGGGCCGACGGGCGGCGGGCGAAAAAAGGTGCCGCACAATGAAACCGACCATGCTGGGCGAATCGAGCACGGTAGGAGAGGTCGTTGAGGAGGGGAATGGATTGGGGCGGCTGGATGTCGTCGACGATGGATTACAAGATCAAGATGCTTCAAAATCTCCTTTGCAGGAGAGTCACGTGCAAACCCGTCCGATTGGCGTTTGTGGGTGGGTGGGTCTCGGGGAATCGATGGGCAATGGCGAGGCCCCAAGAGCGGCATGATTCGTGAAGGAGCGCGTCTCACGAATTAAAGTGTGGCGTTTTTTTCTCGAGCAAAATTCCAACAATTCTAAGAATTATTTGAAGTGTTACGTTGATTGGATAGTACAGTATATGAGCTGCTATCGTCAGACATCCTTGCTTATGTAGCTTCTACCGAAAGCGTGCGAGGGGACGTCGGTGTCTATCAGTCGGAGAAAAGTGTAGTGAATGTTTTGGCATTGACCTTGTGAATTATTTGAAGCAAAGATTAAATAGCAACCAAATGCAAAATAAAGCATGATACCATTGGTTGTTCAGCCTGGCAGCTTTGGATCACTAGTCCCAAATGTATCGCTGTTTGGTGTCAGGAGGTCCATGAACATGTAAACTGACCTCCCTCATCATCTTCGAAACAAGTTTTCATATCATGTTCCCCATCTTATCCTTTAAACATTTACATCCGTTCTTATTTTTCCTTTCTGCAAGTCCAACCTCTCCATTGCCACCTTGTGACGCCCGCCCACCGCCTGTCCCACTCGGCTTAATACGCTAAGCCGCTCGGCTCTTTTTCTTCTCCTTCCTTCGAGTCCTTCCCCACACTTTACTTTTGAGCAAACAAAAAAAGAAAAAAAAGAAAGAAAGCGACAAGGGGAGTTCCGGGCGGAAAAAGCGGGCAGCGCGGCCCAAGCTGCAACCGAACGCCGGCCACTATAAGCACAGGCAGCCCCGTCTGTCATTATGCTGCAAACCGGCATGCCCTTCTCTCACTTTGTCTCTGATTACTTTTATCATACCGAATATTAAAGTAAGAACTGGACAATCGTCTGTTCTTACCAAAGTTTTGACCAGTGTTTTAGAATTGTTCTGTAGTTGGGGGGTCTTTAGTTGTAATTCGTTTGCCCACTACGTCAACAGGCTTGTCGTGCCGTCTGTTGCCGTTCCGAACATCGCCCCAAAGCCGGGCAACACACCCAACCCAGCAGCCACAACCACCATTATCTGCAAACACACCGACCAACCCTTTTTTCTTCCCTTCTGCACATTGTATCTCCAGATTCAATTCTCTCTCCTCCCCCTCCTCCCTACGTCTCTTCTACCCAAGCGTTTACTTACTTGGGCGCGCCTCTACACAACAACCTCGGCTCAAGCATCAACCGCCCGCCGTCGTCATGTCCTCATTCACGCGCGCCATCCGCCCGGCTCTCCAGGGCAGCCGCCGCGCCGTTCTGACCCAGCGTCTCCCCGTGGCCGCGGCCGCTCGCAGCATCACCCGTCCCGTTGCCGCTTCTTCTCTGTACGCTTCCCCCCCCTCAAACCGCAATTGACACCCGCCCCCCCTCCCCCCGCTAATCATTTTCTATTTACCCCAGGCGCTCCCTCTCCACCACCGCTCCCCGCCGCAACGTCGACATCTCCGAGATCCCGCCCACGCCCATCTCGCACCTCTCCGAGGTCGAGGCCGCCATGGCCGACGCCGTGTCCAAGTTTGCCACCGAAGTCGTGCTGCCCCGCGCCCGCGACATGGACGAGGCCGAGGCCATGGACCCGACCGTCGTCGAGCAGCTCTTTGAGCAAGGGCTCATGGGCATCGAGATCCCCGAAGAGTACGGCGGCGCCGGCATGAACTTTACCGCCGCCATCATCGCCATTGAGGAGCTCGCGCGCGCCGACCCCTCCGTCTCGGTGCTCGTCGACGTGCACAACACCCTCTGCAACACGGCGCTCATGAAGTGGGGGTCCGCCGCGCTGCAGAAGAAGTATCTGCCCAAGCTGGCCACCAACACGGTCGCGAGCTTTTGCCTGTCGGAGCCCGTGTCCGGCTCCGACGCGTTCGCCATGGCCACGCGCGCGACCGAGACGGCCGACGGCTACAAGATTAGCGGCTCCAAGATGTGGATCACAAACTCCATGGAAGCCGGCTTCTTCATCGTCTTTGCCAACCTCGACCCCAGCAAGGGCTACAAGGGCATCACCGCCTTCATCGTCGACAAGGACACGCCCGGCTTCTCCATTGCGAAAAAGGAAAAGAAGCTCGGCATCCGCGCCAGCTCCACCTGCGTCCTCAACTTTGACGACGTCGTCGTCCCCAAGGAGAACCTGCTCGGCAAGGCCGGCGACGGCTACAAGTACGCCATTGGCATCCTCAACGAGGGCCGCATCGGCATCGCCGCGCAAATGACCGGCCTCGCCCTCGGCGCCTTTGAAAACGCCGTCCGCTACGTCTGGAACGACCGCAAGCAGTTTGGCTCTCTGGTCGGCGAGTTCCAGGGCATGCAGCACCAAATCGCCCAGTCCTACACCGAAATCGCCGCCGCCCGCGCCCTCGTCTACAATGCGGCCCGCAAGAAGGAGGCCGGCGAGGACTTTGTCCGCGACGCCGCCATGGCCAAGCTCTACGCCTCGCAGGTCGCCGGCCGCGTGTCGGGCCTCGCCGTCGAGTGGATGGGCGGCATGGGCTTCGTCCGCGAGGGCCTCGCCGAAAAGTTTTGGCGCGACTCCAAGATTGGCGCCATCTACGAGGGCACCAGCAACATCCAGCTTAACACCATTGCCAAGCTCCTGCAAAAGGAGTATACGGCGTAGGACCGAGTTGTGGAGCGTGCGAGGGAAGTGAGCGGCGTGGTTCCAGTCAGATTTGGGTATAACAGCATGTATCTGTAGACTATCTTCACAGCAAACAACTAAAGCAGTTTTAAAAAAAGGAAAAAAAATCAAACATGAATAGACCCTTAGCTCATCTCCTCCGTAGTAACCCTTGTGCAGACTACGGATTAGGTACTTGAGGGCTAGTTACGACGTGTGTCACATGCTGCAAAAGAAGGCTTGGAGAAAACACCGCCATGGAATTAGTCAAATGCACATGTTTCTTCTTCGCTCGTAATTGTCATTTTCCCTCTCCTATTTATGAAAATCGCTTTTTGGTCTGCCAGCTTTGTCAAGAGGAACACAACACACACGACCAATTATGAACAATTGAAAAAAATCCAACACCACAAGCTCTGAAGGAAATTAAAAAGGTTCGAAGAAACGAAAAGTGAGAGGAACGATATAAAAACCCACAACAAGTAAAATGTCCCGCTCGTTGAAGAAGAAAAAAAAATTCAGTCGAGCCCAATGCTCAGTGCCGCCTCTGCTCTGTCTGGTATTGGACGACGCTCAAACGTCCATGTGTCTTGTAAAGTATGGCTAGCCGCGTATTTTCGACATAAAATCAAACAAAGAGAATGAATGTCGGTGATGGCTTCGTAATGTGTGGGGATATCATCTCAACGAATGAATTTCTTTTGTGTGGTCACGCTGGCCCTGACCGCCATCTGGCAACTCCCGCTCCGAGTATGCACCCGCATAAAAAGTCTTGCATGCGCCCCATAGCATAAACCCCATCATGCTCTCGTCAGTTTCATTTGTCTTCACGTCATTAAACAATTTTAAATATCAAGACTCGCTCGATTACTCAAAATCAGCCGTGTATGAAAAGCCACGGAACTCTTCCTGCATCGCCTGCGACAAAACTGTACATCTTGTTAGTGGTAGTGCTCGAGCGTGATAATGGGGATGGTGACTTGCCTGACTGCACCGGTGTGAGCACAGGAGTGACGCTGGTGAATTCGGAATCAAAGTTGCTTGTATCTGTTGCGCTCTTAATCGCAGGCTTGAATGGCGGCGGGCCACGCTTCAGGTAGATTTCTTCCCAGTTGATGTTCTTAAAGAATGCATGGCTCATGACTTCCTGAGCGTCCGTCGGGCCGCTACCCAGACGTTCGCTGGGCTCACGTGTGAGCAGCTTCTGGAGAATAGACACTGACTCCTTGGGCATACTGATCGGGTAAAGTGGCTCGTCTGACAAGATAGCTTCATAAATTTCGTCTTCGTCATCACCACGGAATGGCGACTGTTGCAGGAGCATCTGGTAAATCAAGACACCAAAAGCCCACCAGTCGACGGCGCGGCCATATTTCTTGTCCAGCAAAATCTCAGGTGCCATGAACTCGGGTGTACCGCAGAATGTGCCAGTGGTGGAGCCATACCACATGTCTTCCTTGCAAAGACCATAATCAGCAACCTTGATGTGTCCGTCTAGCGTCAACATGATGTTGTCGAGTTTCAAATCACGGTAGACAACACCGTTTTCGTGAAAGTACTTCAAAGCAAGGCAGACTTCAGCAGCGTAAAATTGTGCTCGTCTGGCGCCAAATTGCCCGCGCTGAATGTGCAGCATGAGATCACCGCCGCTGATGTACTCCATGACAAAGTACACACGTGTCTCCGTCTGGAAACAGGCGTGCAAATTGGTCAGGAACGGGTGGCGCTCCCGATTAGCGATCAAGAAGACTCTCTTCTCAGAGCGCATGCTCTCAACTTCATCATTTTCAATGATGAACTCCTTCTTCAAGACCTTGATGGCATAGAGCTTCTTGGATTTCTTGGTCTCGGCAAGCATGACCTTGCCAAAATTACCCTTACCTAGAACTGCCAAAAAGTTGAAGTGATCCAAGCCAATGCGCTGTCCAGTACCGGGATCAGTGGCAAGAGGCAGGGACTTGCGTCCACCAGGCTGGCCGGCCTGAGGCTGGTATGGCTTCTGGGGCGAAACCGGCTCAGCAGGGCGGGTAGCGGGTTGGGCAGCAGGAGGAGGCATCTGCTGCACAGGGCGGATCTGAGCAGCGGGCTGCATTTGCTGCTGTTGTTGAGCGTAGCCGGTGTTAACATTTGCATAATCAGCCGGGTTGTAGGGACGCCCCTGCTGCTGCGTTTGCATTTGAGCCCCGTAAGCGACAGCGGCAGCATGTGCATCTGGTTGCTGCTGACCATAGCCGCCATATCGGCCATAGTCGGACCACTGGTTTGACTGCGCTGAAATGCCGGACATAGCAGCCGAAGCAGCCGCAGCGGCTGCAGAGGAAGCAGCGGTAGCCGCTGAGCTGGTGCTTGACGGCGCGCGTCCCGGGGCTGGTCGCTGCTGCGGGGGCGTCTGTTGATTTGCATACATGCGTCTAGCGGCCTCGGCTGCTTCCGTCGTTGTTGGAGTGATCTGCGGGGGTTGTGCGGAGCCGGTCGGGGAGGAGACGGCAGAAGTCGGTGTGCCCGTCTGAGAGCCAGGGGTACTCATCTTGCGCAGGGTCCTATCCGTGAGGTTGGTGGTCGTCTTGGCCTTTTGACGCTGTGTGCGAATGCCCTGTAGGATTTGGTTCGCCACGGCCATTGACATGCCGCAAAAGTCTGGGACAAGGTGCACACAATTAGCGTGACTTGTGAGACTGCATTCTGTGCACTTTCTGCAGTTCTTTTTGCCAAATGGTAGAATGTAACCGCAGTGGCAGCACCAGTTGGCGGTAACGTTGGAAAAGGGCTGGAACCTGTGGGGAATGCGGTGGTTGATCTTTTCTTCCTCGGGGTCGGTCTCGGCGTTGCTCTTGCTGATGCACTTGGTGACGACACTCTGGTAGCATTTGGTGTGACAGGTGTACTTGCAGTCCTCACACTGCATGCCGGCTGAATATTTGAGGAAGTCGCCGCAGAGAGCACAACGCATGATGTTGTAAAACTGCTGCTGGACAAACTTGTGACCATACATTTCGTGGACCTCTTCCTTACGCTGACGAACAGCGCCTTTTCGGCCGAGACCGACGTCGACGGGGCGCTTGTCTCGGTTCTGCTTGACGAAGCTAATCTGCAGCTGAATTTGACCGGCAGGCTCAAGGTTGAACCAGCCATCAATGGGGCCGGCGTTAATCTGGGATGGAGGAGCCCCATAAGCGCCACCAGGCTGGTGACCGCCCTGAGCGCCGGCGGTTTGAGCGCCAAATGAGCTTTGTGAGGGGCTCATGGGGAACTGAGCAGGGGCCGTGGCGCCAATGCTGCCCATTTTGTCGGCAGAGACCCAACCAGAACTAGTCATCTCGGCCTCGATCCTCTTACGGCGCATTTCCTCGACAATGTCGGATATTCTGACCCAAAGCAAACCGATGGGCATGGGGTGTTCTCCGGGTTTGTCGTAGACAATGATTTCTATTTCGTTGGCCTTGTCGACATCAATGGTGTGGAATTCATTTTCCCAACGGTCGTTTCTGGATACTTTGGTGCGGGCTGTCACGGTGTCCTCGACCTTGACAGCGACGAAGGTTTCAGGACCGCGGGAGAAGCGTGTGGTGGCGGCGTGATCGACATTGTTCACGGCGATTATGCGAATGGCGAGGGAGCCGCTGAGAGGCTTGCGAAGATTCGGAGTATTGATCGAATCATCTAACAAGTCAGTAATTAGCGTGGGGCAGTAGAGAGGCGTGCGAGATTTGTAGGGAGACATACCGTCGGGTGTATCCGAATTGTCCATGTCAATATGCAGTTCTTCATATCTCTTCAATGCCTGCTTCAAGAGAAGGATTTTCTGCTTGCTTTCCGTTTTTCTAGCTGCGGCGTCGGCTTTGCTTTTGCGGTCGCCCTCCATTGCGTAGAGCTGAACCATTTTCTCGACGCCCTTGAGGTACTGTTCCTCGACATTGAGCTTAAACTGAAGCTGGGAGAGCATGAGCTGGATACGGGGGCCCAGGTAGGGGGTATCATATTTGATAAGATCTGCCAGGCGGCAGTTAGCGAAATGGATAGAGAACAAGGTGAGGCGGCAGTTGGAAAGATGAAGAGACCAAAAGGCACAGGAGGGTTGGCGGGGGCGAGATGGAAGCTCGTACCTAGCTTGGTAAAGTTGGGCCGGCCCTTGGGCATGGATGCACCGGGGGGCTGAGGGGTAAAAGGATGGTGGGAAGGCATCCTATCGCCATGCTGGCCGATCTGGCTGTATTGAAGCGAGGAATCCTTGGGAGGAGGGGGCGGGGGGCCATCGGCATCGTCGCGGACAGCCATGTTGGCGACGCCCTGGTTAACGCGGCGCATCTGAAGCTCATTGAGACGCTCCTCGAAGAACTGGATGTTGCGGCGACCGTCGCGAATCTGTGAGTCTAGGCGGGAGCGGACGGCATCGTTGTCTGTCTGGGAGCGCATGTTGTTGGCAGCGGTCATGAGGACGCGCTCCTTTTCGATTTTGCGCTGGATATCGAGAATGGCTTGATCTTCGTTCATGATGGCTGTTGGGGCGCGATGCGTTCGCGCAAGACGTCGGAATGTTTGGAACCAGAGGAGACGACGGGGTCTGGGGTGAAGCTGCGTGGAGCTATGGCAGCCGCAAAGTCTCTGCTCAAGAGGATGAGAGGAGCAGCAGAGCGTCTCTGAGTCGGGGGTCGACGGTTCGACGGGTGGTGGTGTAAAGATGAAGTTGGCCAGTTAGTAGTAGCTAGAAAAAAAGATAACAAGAGGGGCGAGCCAATGGCGTGGAGGGGAGCTCAGACGAAGAGGGCCGGGAGAAAGGGCCGTTTTATCGGGAAGCTCTCAGTCTGATGAAGTAACTCTGTCGCTGTGTCCGTTCGGGCAGCAACACGAGACACGAGAGAGGTGGATGCAGACTGGAGGAGGATGAATGGTCGGCAGCCTGGCGGATGGTGGTTTATGGTGGTGGTGGGAAGTGGGAAAGATGTCGTCAGTGATGTGATGGGGGAGGGAGGGGGTGGACAGTGGAAAGCGCCAGGCAGGCAGATGGCAGGTACTGTAGCAATAGCAACCCAGGCAAAGGTAACTACCTAGGCAAATAGCAGGAAGCGGCGGGCAATGCGGGCAACCAGCCATGCAAAAAGAGGTAAGCGGACACCGCGGGCAATGCAATGGGTTGGCGGGGTTTTGTCCTGTTTTTCCTTTTAGCTGTGCCACAGGCCCACTGACATGAAGTATCGCTGTGAACCTGGCCGTGGGTGGAAGGGTGATAAAGTAAGGTACCTAGCGTCTAATCTATGTACCAACTGTCCGATACTTTTCTCCTTTTCCAAAGCTAGGAAATAAACAAGTAAATAAATCATCCTCTACTGACCGCAGAACGCTGTTGCACCATTTGGTCGCTGTCGATAGTCCCATCCCGCCATTGTCCAGATAGGCCAGGCACCTGCATCTCTTTCACCTGCAGTGCCCCTCGTGCATGCCGTAAATACCTACATGGCAGCTGTACTGGTACCTAGGTACCTAGCATTGGCAGGTACGCGCCCAAGATGTCTGCTCCAGCTTGCACTACTTGAAATTTACGGAGTACAACTCGTCCTACCTCCTCAGTATTCACACAAGCCTATCCTACCCAGATGCCAGATAGCCGGTCAACAGTCAAGAGTTCAACACAAGTCACCGCGCCACAACAACAACAAACCCCACCATCGTGGCGTCACTCGCGCCCATCTTGGCCTACCTGGGCATATTGCAAGTTGCGCCTGAGACTGTCCTCGCCGATGGCTATGCAAGCCCTAATTATCTTTCTTTTCCCCGGTTATTTGATTGTTTTTTCTTTCCTCTTCGTGCTCTTGCAAACCTTCATCAACTAGCGAAATCGTTACTAATAGCCGAACCAAGACCCCTGCTTGATGAAACTTGCGACTCGAAATGGCAATTGCCCCTCACCACTGCCCACTGTAAATCCTCTCCCCCCGCGCGAGATGCGCCGACGAGCTTGCAGCTGTTTGTGAACTACTAACGACATGTGAAGAAGAAGAAAAAGCCAAATCGAATTCATAATACAGAAAACGTAATTTTCTTTCTCGATATTATAATACCGGATCGATATGCTCCGACTGTCTTAAAACTTGTAAATCAATGTGTCATAGAATCTGCATGTCCTCATTCAGAAGCACAGACAATTGCGGCAAAGGTCACGATAGCTCCTCGTACCCCCCCTTAGTCTCCCAGCAACTGCTACGTTTGCGTGGATTTTTTTTCTTTTTGTTTGCACCACGGAGGCCTCAAATCAAACTGCGCGCGTGACCAGCACACTTGAAACAATCGATTCCAAACATCAAGAAAGTCAACAACCAAGGAGAGACCTCGGCGGCCTCCTCCAAAGCCAACACGGGCGGGACTCTGGCCATGGTGACGTCGTGCGTCTGTCGGCTCTGCCGCCGAGATGGGAGGGGCTTAGGCGTGCACAAGTCACTCAATTCGCCAATGAACCGATTTTCCTTTCAGAATGAAATCACTTCATGTACGATTGTCCCCCTTTCCTAACCAGGATACAACGTAGTGTCCCTGAAGAAGGAGGACTCTGGCTGCGCCACGGACCCCATAGCGGCATGACGACAGAAGTCCACTCCGAGTCCTGGCCTCAATCATTTTTCTCGTTTCGTCTGATAGGTCGCCGTTGACAGCCACAGCCTCATAATTATGAAATCAAAGGGTCCAATTCGCTCATAGTACAAGTCTACGACAATGCTCTCTATCTTACAACCCGATGCTAAAGGGGAAATGGAATCTATGTACAGGTATTTGCCGTATTGCACGTGGCTTACCGGGCTGCCAACAGGGCTATGCTGCCCACAATCGCCGCGCCGGCCATGGCTCCTTGGAGCACCAGCGTCGTCGCGTCCTTCATCCGGAGATCGACCTGCCTCTCGCTGCAAAGATCCAGGGCCGCAAGCTTCCACCGCGCCGGGTCCTGCAGAAACTCGCCCCAAGTCGTCTGCGCGACCGGCGACGGCACCTTTATCCGCATTGTCGCTGCTGCCGCCGCCGCCGCCTCCTCCGCCGCAGCCGGCGCAACAAGCGGCGCTAACATCTCCTCCTTGCCGGGCCGCAGCGCCGCCTCCAACTTGATCTCGAGGTCGGCCTTTAGCGCCTCCATGTCCGTCCTGACGCCCTCAAGCACATCTCTCTCGTGCTCGACAACGCCGCGCACCAGCCTTTTCCTACGCCACGGCTCAGCAAAGAACTGCAGCAGCACAAACAGCACAAAGTTCATGCCCATCAGGCCCCAGGTGCCCCAAGTACTGGCACGCCGGATGCGGTCGCTCCAGATCTGCTCCTCGTGATAGCGCTTCAAAATGCCCGCGTTGAGTCGCTGGTTCAGGCTTTGCTCCTCGGTCTCGGCCTCGGTCAGTGCTCCCTGCGCGGCCACTACCGCGCCTTCCAGCTCGTGGTCCGTCCGGTACAGCTCCGTGAACCGCTCTAGGTCCGTCGGCGACCACATGTCCTTGCGCGCCAGGAGCGTCGTCACCTCACGCTGCGTCGCCGCCCGCTTCGTATTGGAGGTTCGGTACGCCGCCCGCGCGCTGCGCACCCTCTCCTGCGCCTCGCCCAGCGACCGCTCCATGCGGTCATTGTCCGCCTTGATCGCCTCAATCGCGGAGTAGCCCGTTACATCGTTGAGCGTCTGCGAGGCCGTCAGCGCACGCGCCTGCAGCCGGTCCATCGCTTCGCTGAACTTGAGGTTGAGCGTGCTGCGTCGGCTCTCGGCTGTCGAGGGCAGGCTGGCGGCGGCAACCCGAGCCGCCTGCGTATCTTTGTCGGGAGGCGGGAGAGGCGGCGATGGTGTCGAGTACAGACGGTGAGCCGAAGCGAGGTCGTGATTGTGAAAATATAGTCGCATGACGGCCATCCGAGGCATCGCTGGCTGAGCCACCGCAGCCATGGTAACGCTCCTCTGCGACGTAACGCGAGCGGCTGTCGCTATCAGGGGATGCATCACGGCGAGCGATTGATCTGGCAGCTACTGAGGCGTCGCTGTCACGCAGCGTCTGTCCACCCGATTTATCGCTAGAGAGTAAAAAAAAAGTGAGTGTTCGTGCCAAGGCTCAACACCGTAAAGTTGCAATCCAGGACCAGGCCGAGCTAAGCAGGCCTGTACCTGACAGCTTTGGCGGGCCGTACAGTGCGAAGAGCGAACTTTGTTGGGGTCGGGCGCACAACCCCGGCCTCGGGCATTGGCTTTTGGAGGGGCAGTTCTCAAAGACCCTTTAATTCCTCCCTACGCGAGCGAGGGGTATTTTTTAACATAGCTATAATACGCTGTCACGTAGAAAATGTCTTTCTGCTGTCTAGTAAGACTATCAGAGCATCTGGCACGTGTAGGAGCTAAAATAGACTTATTTTAACATATCTGAGCGACTTGACAGTGTTACTAGACAGCAAGAAGACATTGCAAACGGAAGACGCTTTAGGGGCTATGTCAGCAAACACCCCGTAGTGTGACGTTGTGCCGGCGTCAACCGATAAGAGAAATTGTAAAGACAAAATATTCAGTTGAGCCAAGCAGACCATTCATGAATGAGGCTCGTACTACTTTTGTGGATTGGTTCTCATCAATTTGTGGAACTGTCTTCTCTTATCGATTCAGCGATTCCGGAACAGATCAAGATGAACATTTCTGACTCGGTTGCGCCAACTCTCTTTCTTCCATACCACTTTTGCTATCTGGAAGTCTCAGTCGCACAGAGCGCGTGTTATTTTCCCTCCTCATAAACTTGTCGATTTGTTTTTCGTCAACGGTCGTCGCCCAATCGCTGCGCAGTCGCATCCTCTAGTTAACCGACACCATGGGCTCCATCAAAACCGACACACCGGCCATGGCCACCAACCCCAAGTTCATCTTCTTTACCGATTTCGACGGCACAGTCACCCTGGGCGACTCCAATGACTACATGATTGATAATCTCGGCTTCGGCAAGGCCAAGCGCGACGCCGACAACGGCAAGGTCTTGGTCGGCCGCGCCCATTTCCGCGACGTCTTCTACGGCATGCTCGACAGCGTCAAGACGCCCTTTGACGAATGCCTGCGGCAGATCCTCGCCAACGTCGAGCTCGACCCCAGCTTCAAGGAGTTCTACTACTGGGCGCAGGACAACAACGTTCCCATTGTCATCCTCAGCGGCGGCATGGAGCCCGTCATCCGCGCCCTGCTCGACAAAACGTTTGGCCCGGGCTGGAACTTGCAGATTGTCAGCAACAACGTCGCGCCCGCCGCCGAGGGCCGCAGCATCAACGAGGAGGGCGGCTGGAAGATTGTCTTTCACGACGACAGCATTCACGGCCACGACAAGTCCCTTGAGATTCGCAAATACTCGTCGCTGCCGTCGCGCCCCGTCATGTTCTACGCCGGTGACGGCGTGTCCGACTTGTCGGCAGCAAAGGAAACGGATCTTCTCTTCGCCAGAGAAGGCAGGGGTAAGTAAATTTCGCATTGAGAAAAGAGAGACCTTTTGCCAGCTTGGCTAACTAACACCCTGAAAAGATCTCGTCACTTGGTGCGAGAACGCCAAGACTCCGTTTGTTACCTTTCGCGACTGGACTAGCATCAGCCAAACCGTCAAGGACATTGCTTCCGGCACCATCACCCTACAAGAAGCCGCGCGAGGACGCATCTAAGAGGATGATACTATCAACATGTGAACACGACCAAGGAAGCCGTAAAAGGAAATTAGAGATTCATGGATGGCACACATCGAATCACGCGCGCCCTGGCTCGTACGGAGTACTTTACAACATACAATCAAAATAAGAAAATTTAAAATTAGAGAAGTTAGTTACAATTTTGAATTGATACCCTGCAAGATATCTGGCTGAATGCCGCCGCCGGCAGCTGACTTGCCCGCCGCCTGATGAACCTTGGCGGCCTGGGCCGTGAATCAATCTGGAGTGCAGTGTCGTCAAGAACTCCGTGGAGAGGGAGATTGTTGCTGTCAAAGGGACATCTCTCTTCTCTTACGGTACATCGCATAGCTTGTCTCTGTTTACAATGCACAATGCACCTGGATGGTGGCCGATCTTTTCTGATTCGTCTTGCATTAGCCTGTGCGGCTCTACCACGATCGGCTTCTCGCAATTCTCGGAAAAAGCCCGATACCACACACTTTGCCCACAGCCTCCTTCTGCGTCATTGTTCGAGGCCAATGGTTTCATACGTTATTGTTTACGAATGTCTCAAGAGTAGGTGCAGTTTGGTAACCAAAAGTAAAAAAAAAAAAATTAAACGAGCAACGTTTCTTCTTCTTCTTTGTAAGGCTGCCGCTACTCGGAGTCTATTTCCGCGAGACATGGGTCTGACAGTTCAGCTTAAAACTTTATACGAACCCATGACAGTCCTGTGACGCCATGTTCCATTCCGCAATCATGCCGTCTGACAGGCAAGAAGCAAAGAGTCATGATGGCCAGGCAAGCCGGAAATAGTATGGCTTGGCACCATCATAATTCCCAGTAGGGTCCAAAAACGAGCGATCCCTGCTGTTAGTAATATGAGCTGAGAAGATGGACTTTGCGGGGTTCGCCCAGATTTAGTTGCTAAAAATAGTGTGCAGCCTGCCTCAGCCCCAGCCTTGGATTCTTTCTAAGTTCTGAGGAGAGCCGATCTTGTCGAACTTATCCAGATGAGCCGCCAAACTCTTCTTGTTGTTCGCATAGCCGCGGATTTCATCGCTAGAATCCTTGAACTCAATATCTAAAAAAAGACACCAAGTCTCAAGGTGAGGCAAGAGAGTCGAGATTGCCGCCACTCCACCGAGCTACACTTGCCGATGCGACCGCTACCTTGCCACTTTGCCCGGCCAAGGCCGGCTTTCCTGGCGCAACAGTGCCGCGCCAAGATCCGCGAGCCCCGAAAAAAAAGGCTGCAAGTGATGTCATGCGGCCCAGGCAATAAAGCGGCAGAGATCGGTGAAAGCTTTAGCCACCGACTCGCCAGCCGCTGATCGGGCCTATGCTTTTCGAGCTATTTATGCGAAATACGAAAATATCCCCCCTTCTACTCGTATCCGACGGAGCTAGGCTCGGGCGGGGGAGGCAAGGAGGCTGCCGCGGAGACTTGGCGTTTGCGATCCTACGGCAACAAGTCGCTCGTAAACTCGAATGCCTGACGTTGCGGCGTGAGGAGTGGCCAGCCCTACGGAATCGGCTGTAGCTTAGTGTGCCCCCAATTCCCAGTATACGCGACGAGCCGAAGTACATTGTCCATCATAAAAAGTATATAAAGGTGTAGATGATCCTCCCCATGCTTTTGGTTCGAGCATCAGCATCTACATCTCCAAATCAACACATCCACCAAGCTCCCTTTCTATCTACACACAAGTACCAACTACAATCAACATGAAGGCCTCCATCTTCTCCATCGCCGCTGCTGTTGGCCTCGCCTCAGCCCAGTTCGCCTCTGTCGAAAACCACTGCGACAAGACCATCTGGGTCCAGTCCTTCCCCTACGACGGTTCCGCTCCCGGTCCAGCCTCCGCCATCGAGCCCGGCCAGCAGCCTTGGCAAGAGTCTTTCCGCCCCGGAGGCAGCGTACGTGTTGATCAATCTACCGGCTCCTCTCCGAGCTCTCTTGGCGCAAACGAACAATAACCTTGAGCTAACGCACATTACAGACTGTCAAGATCTCCGACTCTCGCAACTTTGACAATGCTCTCCAGTACGGCTACTCCTTTTCAAGCAACCCTGACACGGCCTACTGTAAGTCCCCGACGCTCAGGCATGCACACCTTTTTTGAAGATGAATATCTAACAAATGATGCAGACGAGTTTAGCAACGTGCACGGCAACCCATGGGCTGATAAGCACAACATTCTGAGCGCTGGCCCCGGCTGTGAGTCCTTTGACTGCGCTCCCAACGACTACAACTGCTACAGCAGGGGTACCCGTACCCTTCACTGCCCACAGCCCGTCAACATTACAGCCCAGATCTGCGTCTAAGGCTTCGCTCAATTTGAAGAGATTTTATGATGGAACGATATTGTGTACACTTTGTAACCAACTATAGTCAGAATATGTTTATTGACGAGATTGTCTTTCTTTACTCGCTTCGTCTCTTCTCCTCGGGAATGCCGAACCAGCATAGTAACATGCCGATAAAGGCCACAATCACAATCGGGTGAAGAACCCACGTGTCGACAGCCTGCGCAAGCAGACCGACAACAAACGGCCAGACGGCGCCGCCCATGCTTCCAAACGCGCTAATCGCGCCCATGTCGCTGAGAGCCTGCCTGTGCGACATGCCGCGCAGAAACGAGGACATGGCGCACGGGTACACGGGGCCGAGCAAGACGCCGACAATGGACACGGCGACGGCGTTGCCGACGACGTTGGGGACGAGCCAGACGAGGAGCTCAAAGACGAGCGCGCCGACGACGAGCGCGTACACGTACCTCTTCTCGCCGATGCGCTGCGCGGGCGCCACGAGCAGGAAGCGGCCGAGCGTGATGCCGCCCCAGAAGCCCGCCGTCACGTAGCCCACCGACGCCGGGCGCCCCTCGCGCGCCTCGATGAGGAACGAAATGACCCAGCCCGAGATGGACACCTCGGCGCCCTGGTAGCAAAAGATGAAGATGGAGCCCAGCAGCACGAGGCGTGTCCGCAGCGAGCCGACCATGCTCCAGAGCGCGTCTCTCCTCCTGCTGCCCGTCGTCGCCGCCGCCGCCGACGACGACCCGGCGTCCGCGTCCACATCCGCGCCATGATCATGCTGCTGCCGCTGGCTCAGCTCCTCATCGTAGCCACCAAACGCCCACACAGCGGCGCCAATGCTCAGCGCAAAGACAGCCATGGTGAGTATGTAGTAGCGCGTCCAAAACGGCGCGCCGGCGGCCGCGACAATGGACGTGGCGACGAGCGGGCCCAAGACGCCGCCGAGGCCGTAGCAGCCGTGCATGCAGCCGAGCACAAAGGTGCCGCGGGCAAGACGGCCGCAGAACGTGTTGGCAATGGCAATGTTGACGGCGATGCCGAAGCCGACGAGGAAAAAGGCCAGCACGACGACCGGGAACGGCGCGCCGGCGACCATGGGCACGTAGGCCAGCGTCATGAGCGCCTGCGCGAGGCCGAGCGTGCGCGCGTGCCCGAGGCGCTGCCGCAGGCTGTCGAGGAACACGGCGGCGACGATGAAGCCAATGGCCTGCCCGACAAAGATGAGCGAGACTTGGGCGTAGCCAATGTGGTAGCTACACAGATATATAGACTCATGATTTCATTTGCCATGGACTCGACATTATAATCCGAGAATAGTTGTATTTTTCACCTCGGAGCATTGAAGACTTGGGCTTTGACAGGGTATGGAGTAGGACAAGGTCGGTTCCATGGAGCCGGTCGACAGACAGACAAAAAAACATTGATGATCAAATGACTAACAGATATTTCATAAACTGTATACGAGTTTTGATTGCGCCGAGAAAGTCTCCTTTCGCGGAATGGCAACAATCAATCATGTGTGTGTATGACTGGCGGAGTTGCCGATTTTGGCAATGAGGAGTAACTAAAACGTGGGGGAGCTGCTCCGTCCTCGCCTCGACTCGGGCACTTCAATCGACTTCTAAAAGCGGCTGATGCGCTCATGAGCTTGCATGGAAGAATGCAAGCAGGGCTGACCTACATTGGCGATTCGAGATCTGCAAAAGATACTCGGGCGGCGAATTTACATCTTGACGAGCCCAACTCTCAGCCTCGTCACAACCACCAAATTGCTAAGGCCATGCAAGTTGAGTTGAAAAGCCAACAAGAAAAGCCCAATCATGAGAAGAAAATACTTTGCTTAAAGTAGGGGGAAAAAAGAAGAAGAAGATAAAAAAAGAAGAGAAAATCCGCCACTTCCATCATCACTCGAAGCGCGCAACGTGAATCTCGTCCAACTGCCTGAAAACATCCACTTCAACTCCAACTTTTTTTTTTGTCGAGCAGAGCCATCATTGCCTCGCATCCCACACTTTTGTTGGTTCTTCTAGACTTGGTAGTCTGTAATAAATTTTCTGCGCTATTGTCATGGTAAACGCGGAAATGGCTGGACCAAAGTCTCATTACTAGATGGCGTATTTTGCAAAACATGCCCCGAGCTGGGAAAGCAAATCTTCTCTTCGAGAACATTTCCTAGCTCAAGACCTACAAGCATTTGCAGAAAAGAACCAAAAATCGTGTACCACGCCAGAAGTTTATTTATATGGAGCGCCACGAGGTCAGCCTGCAAGCCGAGCGACAAGGTGCGCGCGCGCAGTTTTGAAACTGAAGAGGCCGAGGTCTGGCGGTTACCGCGTCTTTCATGTGACGCCCAAAGAAGACGACATCCTTTACTCTCACGATGGCTCGTTTCATTTTCGAGCCAGGTCCTCTGCACTGGGGATTTCGTCCTTGTCCTAGCCCCGGAAGCTTGGCGCCCGTGTCACCGTCTCCCGTGTACCCGCTCGCGCCGGAGTCACAAGCCGGTGGCCATGTACGACATGTTGCTGCAGAAGCTGTACGACAGAAAATTGGCCGCCACCAAAGACGACATGCCGTTCGTGGACCATGGAAGTCTCCACCAGTGTCACGTTTTACTCTAAGTCCCAAGCAGCCGGCCAATGGATGCCGGGGTTAAACGCCTACTTGACGGCACAATGACGAACCAGAACCTGTTCGTCGTGGCTCCCGAAAAAGACACGATGCTCTCGCTAGCCCGGCGTGCCGTAAAAACTCTTGGATTACCACCGTCAACGGCACAATCAGGGGACTGTCCTCCGTGTCTGTCATACTCGGCACAGACGACATGCTGTACCCAGACGCGGAGCTGTTGGTGCAAAAAGGCCCAAACAGAACGGCTGCGACGTGACATTCTATTTCGGGCGAGGGGCTCTTTCACATCTGGCAAGCCTCTTGCCTTTATCAGAAGCCACAGAGACACAGCAAGTTTTCTTTGGTTGCTGACAGCTTCCTGGACCAAGTGGTGGACCCTATTCTCGCCATCTGTTGAATAGCTATGTAATCTAGAAGCGTGTTGAGAAAGAAGAATAGCAATATGAAAGAGATAGACAAACAAAATAGAAACAAAGAAGCTTCTGTTGTCGATGGTCGCATTTCTACCTGTACGCTTCTGATGTGCAATACGTCCAGGCCTCTATACGATGTCTTATACAATGTCTTGTCATGGTTGTACCGGGAGGACCATTGTGGGTTTCTCCCAATCTCAGTTCCAACCGACTATTGACTTGTTATATAACTGCGAGCCCCGAGCTCTGAAATCCTAAATGAAAGACGATCCTTCTCGCTCTTTTCTACGCCTTCCCCCCTTCACACTCTTGTCGCACGTTGCAAGATGGCCTTGACCCGAGGCCAGGCTCGCCGCCTGCGTGAGGCTCGCATCAAACACCTGCTCGAGCTCCCCAATGATATCCTCTTTCGGATATACTTGCACGTCGGCAGCCTCGACACAGCATGGGCGCTCATGTGCACCTCGCGCAAACTGCGTGCCGCTTTCCACGTCGACCCCGTCAAGGTCGTCGACACCATCCTGACCAACAGCATGCCCGATCCGCTCCTCGGACTCGTGCAGGCTGTCTGGGATCTGCAATCTGGAACCCGATCGAGACGCATGACTCTTCGTCTCATGCGCTACATTGACCAAGCACACTGTACATCGTCATTCAACACGCATGCGGTGTCCGCCGAGTTTGTCCGCGGCTTCATCAGCCTGGCGCGCAAGATTCACGCAATGGCACACTGCATCTTGGAGCACTGCCTGACCAACCTCAACAATATCCAGGAAAAGCTGTGCCCCTTTCCGACGCTGTACCCGGAAATCGAGCGGCTCTGCTCGTGGAAGAGCGGCCGCTGGAAGCGCGTGGAATCGGCAAAGTACCTGGCGCCGCCCAGCTGGTCCGAAAAGCTGCGCATGATGCAAGGACTGTGGCTTTGCGTGTTTCACAGCTCGCTCGTGCAGGCGCAGCAAGAGGGCGACGCGTGGATCTGCGCAGAGTTGGCGCAGCTCGAAAGGGACTCTGACCTGCGTCTGGAACACTTTTTCGGCAACGGCTGGGCCGGCACGTTCTGGACAATCGACCACGGGCTGGCCGTGATGCACCTCCCGCCGCAAGACATGGATGCGCCGTACAACGAGGCCGTTGTCCTGCCGGCGACGATGCCTCTTCCGACACTGCCGCGCGGAACGTTGGCGCGGGCGGCGCAGAGCTACTTGGAATCGTTCAAGCACCCCCCCGCTGGCCTTGAAGAGCTGGCATGGGATGAGATGGACCCGGAAACAGAGGGGTACTGGTTTCTCATTGGGGATGACGTTGGAATGGCTCCCGTTGTGTCTGCTCTGCATAGGCTCCCGGCATGCGAGTACGCCCACCTCGGCGTCTTGCACTGGAGTTGGGATCGGATGCATGCCTTGGGGCTCACGTATCGGGGCGACCATCGTATTTATGCCATCTGGCACGGGCGCGTGTACAATTACTGGCTCAGTCTGTTGCCCCAGTGGCTCATCAAGAGATGGGAGTCGATTCAGGCGAGAGACAAGGCGGAGCAGCGCATTATGAGAGGGGCTGGAAGAGATGGAAATGGGCTAACATATATCTAGATACTTGACGGGAGGGGACACAGGAAAAAGTTGATTATTCAAACAAAAAAGTTTTTGACAATGTCGACTAGTCTATCATCTTTCGCCGCCTTTCAGTGAGACATGCTTCATAACACGCGTGCTTGGTCGTAGTGTCCACCGCCGCAGCGTGCTTCGTATACCAACTCCGGAGGTTAAATAATTACAGGCATGTAAAATTGCAAAATTTTGCCAATGCACCATGCAGACGTCAAGCCAGGTTATTCTTTCTTGATTTAAAACCTAGCTGTACCAAATAAATTGAGTGTTGCTGTCATGACCCTCTCTCTGTAAGCTGAGGATACCGCTTGGGGAACTGAATTCTTGCATTTGCTCTCGATTAACAAGACTGTCAAGAAAAGATATCCGCGTGCTAAACTTAATAATGATATATACAAGCTGTCAAATGCCAATTGCCAAATTGGGAAATGCCAACTAATTGACTAAATACCTTGTAGCTCCACAGTTGTCTTGAAAATCTGCCGCTCATCATCACCACTTTTTTTTTCCCTTTCCACAAGAACTTTTCTTCTTATTCATAATACCTCACGAGAACACTGCCCATCCCCTCAAAAATCAAAATGAAGGGCAAAAAGATGGGCTGCAAGCGGCGCAAGCTTCTTTTGAAGCAGCAGGCCAACGGCAAACCCAAGCCCACTGCGCGCGCCTTTATCCCCAACCGTCACTCAGACAAGCCACTCGCCGCCGCCGGCCCCTCGAGCGGCGCACACGCGTCCAAGCAGCATCAGCAGCAGCAGTCGCAGTCGCAGACCAAGAAGCAAAATAAAAAGGCAGAGGAACAGCGCCAGCGACAGCTGCAGCGCAACTTGGACAACCCCACCATTCCGTTTGATCCCGAGGACCGCATCCTGCTGGTGGGCGAGGGCGACTTGAGCTTTGCGGCGTCGCTGGTGCGGCACCACCGCTGCCGAAACGTTACGGCGACGGTGCTGGATAAGAATCGCGCGGAGCTCGTGGCCAAGTACCCATCGGCAGAAGCCAACATTGCCGTCTTTCACGGCGAGAAGCCGCCGCCGCCGCCGCCCGACGAGACAAACGACAAGGACAAGGATGCCGCCGCCGCCGCCGATGGGAAATCACATCACCAGAAAGACGATGACGACGATGACGATGACGACGATGACGAGGAGGAGGAGGAGGTGGTGGAGGCACCGCCGAGTAGCGCTGTACCTGACGCAATCGACAATGCCAGCGACCTCGACAGCGACGACGACGACACCCACAACACCCGCCGCCTACCCACCACCAACAAGCTCCTCTACAACGTCGACGCCACCAAGCTTCCTCCATCTCTCACCAGCCGCAGCGCCCCGCGCTTCGACCGCATCCTCTTCAACTTTCCCCACGTCGGCGGCAAATCCACCGACGTCAACCGGCAAGTCCGGTACAACCAAGAGCTCCTCGTCGGCTTTTTCCGGGCCATTCTCGCCGGCCCAACTCTCGCGCCCGGCGGCAGCGTCGTCGTCACCGTCTTTGAGGGCGAGCCCTACACGCTGTGGAACGTGCGCGACCTCGCGCGGCACGTTGGTCTGCAGGCCGACGCCAGCTTTAAATTCCACGCGGCCGCGTATCCGGGCTACAAGCACGCGCGCACGCTGGGCGTGGTTAGGAGTAAAAAAAGTGGTGGTGGTGGTGGTGGTGCTGGTGGTGCGTGGCGTGGAGAGGAGAGAGAGGCGAGGAGCTTTGTGTTTGTACGCAAGGGAGACGTGTTGAGGAAGCCGAGGGCGCAAGAGCAGCAGCAACAGCAGCAAAAGAGCAAGAAGAAGCGCAAGAGGAGTGGTGATGACGACGAGGACGAAGACGGGGAAGAGTCGAGCGAGGATGACTTTAGCGATTGAGGGGGACGGCGAAAAAAAAAAAAACATGGTCATATAGATGGAAAAAGCGGTTTGATTTTCGGCGTTTGGGAGACTGGTATATAGCATACACGGGCGTTTTTCTCGTTATTTACAGGTACATTATTGTATATATACCCCAGCACATGTTGACAAGCACAACTGTATAACAAAAAGTGTAATGTATTGTGTACACAGCTCCGTGTCCCCCTTTGTTTGCCAAATGAGAAAACCTGCGAGCCATGGAAAAGCGAGTCTATCCAAATTTCCTGCTTTCCTTGCCAGGTTCCAAGTATATCAAAAGCAAGCAAGCAAGCATCCCACCACACTGGGTTTCCATGAGGAAAACAATACCAGGACAGCCGGTTCGAGCATAAAAAAAGTTTTCGGTGCAAAAGAAGAAAAAAAGTCGAGGCGCTTTTGTTATAAAAGACCGGAGAATAGCATAAATAAGAAGAAAAAAAAATGTCAGATATCAATGCATCTTTCGCCTTTCCGCCATGCTCTCACCCACCCACAGTCTCCCTCTTTTCCCAGTCCATCTCTCCCACCAATTACACATTTTCCTCTGCTCTTCTCCCTCTTTTGTGCTACCATCTTGCAAATATAAAGAAAAAAAGGACTTGGACCGCCAAGTAAAGCTCCTTCCCCAGACTGATGATTGACAAATGACTGCAAGAAAACAAGGCAGGGCTTAGTGACTCAGAACCTCCTGTTTTCGATTCTGCTCCTGCTGCTGCTCTCCGTTTGTCCTCGCCGCCTCGTCCTCTAACCGCTGTGCCTCTTCGTTTTCACGCTCCAGCGCCCGCTCCTGCTCCCGCAGCGCCCGCTGCTCTTCCGTCAGCTCCACGCCCTCGTCTTGCGGTGGCGGTGGTGGTGGAGGTGGCGGACTGGGCATCGCCGCCGCCGCCGCGCCGATTTCGTCTTCCTTGAGGCGCTTCATCTCTGGCCCGTCGGCGGCGGGAGGCGTCGCGTCCGGTAATTCAGTGTCGGCAACATCGTCGTGCTTGCGCTTGCGGCTGGCTGGCGAATCATCCATGTCCATGTCGCTCAGCTCGGCGTCGTCGCCCTTGTCGTCGGCAGCGCCGGAAAGGTCTGCCGTAGCGTTCTCCGTAGAGCCACCAGTCTCGCCACCAGCACCCTGTTCCTTCTTTTGCGCTTCGTACTTGTGCACTGCTCGGTCTAAAAAGTCCTTGACATACGTCTTGATTTTGCGGGCTTGCTTCTCGTGCAGTTTGGCCGTCGGATCGGCGACGCGGCTATTCTTGTAGTCTGAAGCTACCAACTTCTTGGACAGCTCTTTTCCCAAACGCTTTAGGTCGTCCTTTGGCAGTTTATGCCGAAATTTATCCAAAACATATTTGATATGAGGAAAGACCTTGAAACAATGTCAGTAAAGGAAAATTGGAGGGAGAGTCTTTTGTTCCCCGATGACGGGCTCGTACAGTGTTTTCATAAATCTTCATTTGCTTGTCTTGGGACAGTGCTCGCCACTTCTCTGACCGAGAGTCCTTGTTTGGCGTCTCTGAAGATTGTGACTGCTGCGACGTTGAGGATTTCGGCGTGCCTTCTTTTGTCACTCTCGCGATAATGTTCTGAATCATCAGCTGCTCCTGCTGGGCCTTGGAGGGGACCTTGGGCGTCTGGTCAGCGGGAAGTGTAGGACGCTGCCACGTCGTTGTGCCCTGCTTGTCATAATAGTACATGTTGCCGCCGGCGTCTTTGGCAGAGAACCAGCCTTGCGGTAGAGGTCCATTGTTGCCAAAGCGTTGCCGTTGACGTGAGCTGTTTCCGGCTTGGAAGTTGCCGTTTCTTTGTGGTATATTGCTGCGAGGCCCTTTGGGAGCATTGATGGGCTGGGATGCGGTTTTGTTCTGTGGTGTTTGCGTGACTGCAGTCGCGTCTCCTTCACGCGCCGGGCCCCTGCGATCCTCGTATATACTTTGGGTCTGCATGCCAGGTTCGAATTTGCGCCTACGAATGCGGTACGCCAATTCTAGCTTGCTCCAGTCATCCAGGAGCTTTTTCGACTTTGACGCAACATCTTCGTGCTCTGATGTAGTTAACTCCTTGACGGTGGCCTCGATATTCGAGTCTTGAATCTTGTTCCTCGTCAGACGCGGGAAGCCATCCAAGATGGAAAGCACCTGCAAGACAACGTTGTGGTCGTCGCTGAACGTGTGCAGGGTCGTCTTGAAGATTTGATATGCGTGCATACGCATGACGCTGTGAATGACCCGCTCATCGTCGCTCTGCTGAATACGGTCGAGAAGCCTGACTGCGATCCATTTTTCCTTGCATTGCATGAGTGTAGCCATAACCTTGCGGGAATCTTCCTCGTCGAGGGGACGTGCCTGCAGACTGCCGACATAGTCCTCGTCATCCTCGTCGGCACGCTTCTTGCGCGCCTTTTTAGCAACAGTCGTGTCCCAACCATCACCAACATCGATACCAAGTGCTTCAATGGTCGCAGGAGGAAGCTTGGTGGCTCGTTCCGTTTGAGTCTTGCCACCGATGAAGCGAAGGCAATTGGGCTCGCCGCAGTAGCAGGGTTGGGGGTCAGCGCCGTACCGGTCGACGTTGTAATTGAAAACAAGCTCTTCGCCGGCAGAAACTGCGCGCAACGCAAATATGCCCATGCGCAGCTTGTCGCCAACCACCCACTTGTCCACGTAGCAGTTGGGGACGCACGAGTGGTTGCAAAAGCGCCCCAGATTGCCTTTTCGAGTTGCATCAACAAATTCATTCTTGTTGAGAGACATGAAATAAAAGTGTTTGATGCCCTCCTGATCGTACTGGAGCATGCGCCGTCGAAACGTGGCCTCGTTGATGACCTCGCCAATATACTCAAAAATGAAATCGTTGGCGGCTAAATCGGCGTCGGTGCGAAGGCCATATCCCTTCTTGTCCGTTTTGATGACGGACACGTCGGCGTAATGTTTTCGTTGAAAGCGTTGATTCTGGCAGCCACCGCCGCAGTTGCCCGCCGTTTCGCTGCATTCCATTTTTGTCGCGCGGTTGATGCAGTCCGAGTCCTCGCCGCATGCCATATTAACGCCATCCTCTGCAGGATTGAAAAATGTCAGTAGAGCTCAATTTTCCCAGCTGCGCATCACCAGGTAATCTGCGACTTGGCCACGAGGCAGGTTTAGGGGCGGTGGGCCAACTTACGCCACTCCTCTCGACAGTCGCAGTCAAACGCGTCGTTTTCCGTCGAGCCGAGGTGCTTGGAGCCATAGAGACAGTCAGAAATGACCTGAAAGGATTTGCAGGCCTCAGAGGTCATATCGGGGAAATGGTCGAACAGGGTCGGTTCTCGAGTCGGGGTGGCCTTGCGCGACGACTTGCGCGACAATCGCGGGCGTGACGAGTTTGGGGTTCCATTGCCATCTGTTCGCGACTTGGCCCCCTCTGTCGACGGGGATCTCGAGCTCTCCAGCTTGATGCCCTTGGTCGCGTCCGTCATGGCGGCCGTCGTGGATTCGGCATGGTGCGCCGCGGCGACGCCGTTGATTCCGACCTCCAGCTTTATTTTCTGCATCTCGACCGTCGCGTTCTCGTCATCCTTCATGACCACATTGACGGGGGGCAGGCGACGGAAATTGAGGCGCAGATTGCAGGCGATGCAGTGAGTCGATGTAAAACTGCGTACTTGTCTGAGCGAATCCTCGTTTCGATGTCTGAAGCAATCGTGCAGCACCAATGATTATGCGGGTGGCAGAGGAGGCTCGCAAACACTGCAGGCCATCAATGGTGCGGTTGGAGGGGAGGCAAAAGTCGCTAGTTCCAGACGGCGCTATGCGGAGCAGCGCTTCCTCTGCAGTTTGTCAGTTGCGGCCGGCCGAGCCAATGACTTTCCGTATTCCGCTGCAGCACTGTCCGAACAGACTGGGATTGACGATGCGGTTGTAGTTGTGATATCGATTGCAAGCTCTGGTACTGTGAATTGGGCTGAACCGTTGTACCTTTCCAAACGAGGCCGGCCAATAGAAGCTGGGGTACGGATACTCTGTCTGTCGTGTCTGAGCGCGGCCTTGTAACGCAGCAGCACCGCGTCGCGGATATTTGTAAGGCCGTGCAACCGATCCATGAGCCGCCGTACGACATCAAATTGTTCAAAGATGTACGGATACATCTTGTAGAAAGTCAATAGTCGCATGTTGGCGTCAGTTCTCTACTAGCACAATCGTTTGAGTCAATCTTCCCTTCATCTCTTGTCTACACGGTGCATCAGTAGTGTAACGCTACAGTTGATCCATCAGCGGATTGGTCATCCCTGCTATTCTCCTATAGACAGTAATATATAGCCACCAGCACGGCGATAAGTTCGAGACAAAAGACAAGAAGAACCTTGTCCGCTTAACATTTCTCGTTGGCGTCTTATTGGCGGATCGAAACGGAAAGTAAAAGTTGCATGTATCGCCCCCGATCGACGCAGATGTGGGCACAGGCCTGCTATTCGCCATTATCAAGTCGGCCAGCCCAATTCTGTGCATTCCCACGTCAAGCCCACTCGTAGCCTCTCAGGCCTGACCGCCAATCGCCTTTGGGACGTAATAATCCTCGCCCAAGCTGCGCTATTCCACTATTGGCTGCTGCCAAGTCGTTCAAGGTCGCAGCAGATCATGGCATAAAAAGCGCCGCGCTAGGAATGCAGCCACAGGAAACCCCCAAGTCCAAAGTACCCCAGACCCGAGGCCGAGGGCTTCTCTGGTCGCTTCTCCAGCAGCACGCACAACATGGCCAGCCTGTTACACGACGTTGGGCTGAGGCTCATCAAAAGCCTAATCCAACCGTCGAGCATGAACTGCCAGTGGGGCCCGCCGTCTTTTGCCAGCACATTGTGCATGTCCTTGTCAGAGATCAGTGTAAGTAAGCCAGCTTCGCTATATAAGAGTCAGACTGTCCGTCGGTGCCAGCAGATGCGCATCATGTACAAGGCAGGTGCAGAGACCACGCTGCCAGCCAAGATGCGACTCGCCGCCAAAAGACACGGGGGGTCGCCTCCACCCCCAAACCGATAGAGAATATGTGTGTGCTGCGTGTCTCTTCTCTCCACCAACTGTGTCACCTGTTTTACAGCCTTTTTCAAGGTCGCCACTGCTATGCCTTTTGTCGCCCTTTTTTGCTTGAGATGCCCCAGAGACGAAAGCCGCGCCTGCTGATTGGGTTAGCTGCCAGCATGGCCGCAGAAAAAGAGGCATCCAAAGCCGTCAACCGACAGAAGCTACTGTGAGCACGAGGTGCCATTCCCCAGTAAGGATGTCACACTGTGCGACTCCGCCAAAAGGCAACCACATCACGCGGACAAGCCAAAAGTTGCTTTTCGCCTTCGTATCGCGCCAGGCAGTTAGTTGCAATTCTGCCCAGGACAGGACAAGAAAGGCAACATCAGCGCCGTCCTTGTTCTTGCGTGGGCGCCAAAGCCATCATTCCACAGGCCGAGTCAGGAGTTTTTCCTGAGTCTCCCCTCTGAGACATTGAATGGCTTGTATGCAGGCGACGCCGCGACAGCCTTGAGAACTATTTTGGTCAAAGTCATCGGGCCTGCTCAACCTGGTATGCCCAGATGAGACAAGAGTCCTTGTCAACAATAAACCTGGAAGGGACGGTTAGCAAGGTCGTTATGTGGTTACTCAATGGATAACGTGCAGCTGCACGTCAATGCTCATCAGTGCAGCTGTGGAGGCTAGCAACCCGTCAACGGGATCTGACAAGGAGGGTGTGCGGTACGTCAACTTTGGTCAACAAGCGTCACGCCCTTATTCTTTTCTCTGAAATTTGATGGGAGAAAAAAGATGTCAGCTCTAACCCAGGCTGCCGAGTCAGTAACTCGAAAGCTGAAGAATTCCCCCCAGACCCAAAAGAGGGACGGCTTGGCGAACGGTGGCAAAGCCTTGCATCTCTCCTATGCCTAACTATCTGCACCGCACTCCAACCTTCTGCTTCCACTTGCACAGCGGGTCGTTGGCAGCCACACCTGTCGCATCCTTGCCCAACAAGCCCCGCACGTTACGAGCGAGGCGGCCGGCCGGATAGAGTCAGCCTGTTTGCGACATCTCTCATGCTCCGCCATGCACCGTGGTCGTCGATCTGTCTCTAGGCAGAGGGCAAGATCCTCCCGTTTCACCGAACAGCCTGACGGCTGACTCAACCTACTGCCAGTAGGATGTCGCGCCGGAACGTGAACCGGGAGCATAGCCTGACAAAGCAAATCAGGGAGGTCGCACGCGCGGCATGGCTTGTCATATGCCTGTCTCGCACGAGTACCGAAAAGGCCTGCCGCTGCTGGTGTTACCCTCAAAAAAGACTTGCATGCTAGTTTTGCCGGCTGCCTTTGTTCGAGAGAGCGAAAGAGGGAGGGGGGTGTATCCAATGTTTGTGCGCTAAAACGGCCATCATCGTGGTGTACCTTGCAGACCCGGGTAGCGCAGTGACTTGCGAGTTCAAACAAAAACCCAGCTCGACAGGCATATTGCACCTGATTCCTCCTGAATTGCCTCCACAAAAAGGTAGACTAGAACGTTCAGCTGATTCGGCTCGATACAATCAGCAAAGGCTTCCAGGACGGCTACTCAACCACTCAGAGACTGTTGCAGGAACTCTTGGCCCCATCCCATGCGACGCCGACGGCTCGCCAACCAACCACCGGAACAAGGCCCGATGCCGCCCGCTAATAAGAAGGGGCGACTCGGGCTGGGGCGAGGCGATGGAGAACAGAAATGGGGGGTGGGAGCGGCAGGCCCGTTTCTTTCTGGGCGCTGCACCAGCGGGACTTGTGTGTGGGCTGCCGTCATCGCCATCATGTGCTCCCCGTACTGCCTGGGTGTAGTTGCATCTAGGCTGTCAGTGTCCAGTGTCAAGGGATCGAAGCTTGTGCACAGCGGCAGGTGCGAGAAGAGGCTGGCATACCACAGACACCACCACCCGTAGGGTGCCAATGAAAGGGAGGGAGTGATCCGTTTGAGCATGATGTCCCTTCCACACACATACAGGGAGGAGGACTAGTGTAGATGGTTTGCCGCCCATCGATTTCCCTTTTCCTCTCCTTCCCTCTCGCCGTTGCTGCCGAAGTCTTGTCTGATGCAGAAGTAACGCCGCCCTGGTGGATGTCTTATTGTTGCTTCTTTTTTCCAAGCGCTATTATGTTCGGTAACTAATCACCGGTGTCGTCTACATCGGCGACTCAGTCTTGGTTGTTGTTTTTTTTTTTGGGCTTCTCGCAGACGAGGGTCTTGCAGCCCTTTCGCGCCGCGGAAGGACGGGTCTGCGGCCATTCAGAGCGGCCAAGTGCAAACCGTGCCCTCATTTTTCCCCTGGTCTTTCCCATTACATCCTCTGGAAACTTGACTCCTTCATCTCTCTACTGATAATTCCCCTCGGCGACCGTGTTAGCCTACAGCCCTTGGACAACCTCGGTACCCTGCCTGCTCGCTCACAAACGAACAACTGTCGAGCAACCAAACGCCCCAGCGCTATCAGGCAGCACAAGCGCGGCGCAACCTGCACGTTTGAACGTACCAATTTTTTTTTTCTCGAAAGAGGCAACACAAGCAGGAACACGGAGAAACGAGTACAAATTCTGCGGTGCTTCCACAACGCTTCGCGCAAAGGACTCGCTCGTTTCCGTTTGGTGTAGTTGCACAGTTTTGCAGATATACCAAGCGGCGTTGCGCGCCTCCCTTGCCCACGCGAGCTGGCACCCGTCTGACTCGAGCCGCCACAGCTGGAAAACCCGAGTCAGCAAACGAACGCCGTCTTTTGGCAGCAGAGGACTTGGGCGGGTTTATTTTTCCTCCTGTAGCAGTTTTGCTACCTTATCCGTGCCCAGACGCTTCATCTACTTCGAGTTCCTCTTTAGTCGCTTCCCGCTGAATCATTATTACCCGGCCCCCGATGCCTCGCTACCGACAAAGTCACGTCGTTTCTCCTGGGTTATTCTTTTATCACTGTTAGGGCATTCTGTCAAGCAACATAATCCCTCCATGTGAGATGGACAACCCATTCACAAACAAGGAACATGTAAGTGAGATGTGAATGCTTTGTCGCATAACCACATCAGCGCCATTAGCATGCTAATCCGCTACTGCAGAGATTCGTTCTCGCTGAGATGATCAAGAATAGCTCGGTGGATGTATATCAACTCGAGGGTTTCGTCAAAGCCCATGGCATCGTTCCAGATTGGCTGAATATGCAGCTACCGCGAGGTAAGGCGTTACCAACTAGGTCTCATAGTTGACCACTGCCAAAGCTGTCTAGCTACTAACACTTATCCATAGGTCGCAATATGAATGAATGTATGCTTGCAACGAAGCAACTTTCTGCGCCTTACCACAGTCGCGAGCGTAACTCTTCCGGTAGTAGCCATGGCGACTACCCATCCATCAGCCAAGCGATGAGATCGCCTCCCACCTTGCAACCTACCATTCATCCACCACAACCGCCATCCTATCAAGGGTCCTCGTCGATATTACCTCGCCCATTGCCCAACGGCATCCTGCCAAAGTCAGCGACGACCACGACCCTTGTAACTATGCCAGACAGCAAAAGTCCGCGCGTCAAGTCTGCGCAAGGAGCCGCGAGCACGCCTAAGCCGCCACCAAAGAAGCGTGGCCGTCCCTCCAGAGCAGACCGGGCGAAGCGAGAACTGCGACCACTGCTTCCACAACATCTAATGCCAAGGCCGCCCGTTGACCACCACCAGCAGCAGTACATTTACCAGCCTGGAATGTACTATCCCCCTCAAACTCTGCCACCAGCAGTAGCAATGCAGGATTCACGTCCAGTGCACGGGCAGTCTCCAGAGCCTGCTCCATCAACGAAGAAGAGGCGGAGAAATAGCACGCCAGAGAGGCTGCCTCCTGTCGGCGATATTATGGGCACTCCGAAATCGAGAGACGGAGATTGATGTTTTCTTCACATTCGATTCCTTTTTTTTTTCCTTTTTCCATTTATTCATTTTGCTCGGACATGATTTTCGACACGTTTTAATTACCGACCAGCATTGGGCGGCGTCATGGTTGATTTGAGGGAGACTTTACGCCCGTTATGACACGAGGATCTCGGTGGCTATCTCTTGGGACTTGGTTCAGTATTTGCTGGGTATATACACAGATAGACAATATAAACTGCTTTGTACTTGGAGACGAGCATATACGGTGGAGAAACGATGCAGTTGGCCGACGGCCTTTTGCCGGCTGCCTTTTGCCGGCTGCCATATTACTAGTAAGAACAGTCAATAGGCACGGAACACATAGTAGTCCTATATGATATATTAGAGCTTTTCCAATCATAGCCCGACAATTCGTGTGGTTACTTGTGCCTTTTTTTGCATTTGATAAAAGACATTGCTTTCGGTTCCCATACTCGCAGGGTGCTATAAACATCAACTCCAAAATAAAGAAATGGCTCATGCGCATACCCTAGCCTCTAAAGGGGGAGTGTGTGTGTCTCTCATCTACCTCGTGATATATTCTTACAGAGCCTTGACAATCTTCTCCATGCTGTCGACGAGGATATCGCAGTGGTGCTCCTGCAGCGTCAGCATGGGACGAAGGCGGACGGCGGAGGCGCCGGAGCCACCAATGTTGATGCCAAACTCCTTGGCCTTTGCGAGGAACTGGTCGCGCTTGGGGCTGTCAAATGCGATAAAGGTGCCCTGGCCCTTGCCGCGAAGGTTCTTAAAGTGGTCGGGGTAGCGCTTGGCAAGGCCCTCCAATTTGGCAAAGAGGTAGTCACCGACGCGGGCGGTGTGGTTGACGAGGTCGAGGCGCTCTACCTCCTCAATGATGGCGCGGAAGATCATGGCGCGCGCGGGGTCGCCCATCCAGGTATTGAATTGGCGGTAGGCCTTATTGGGCCGCAGGGCGTGGGAGGCGTAGTAGTAGCCGGCCGTCTGGGCCTTTTTCGAAAAGGTGACCATGTCCGGAGGGTCCTGCAGGTTCCAGTGCTCGTGCGCCCAGAACTTGCCGGTAGCGCCGACGCCGGTCTGGACCTCATCGGCGATGAGGAGGACGTTGTGCTTGCGGGTGAGCGCGCGCAGCTTCTGGAAGAATTCGGGGCTGGCGTGGTTGTCACCGCCCTCGGACTGGATGGGTTCGACCATGACGGCGGCGGGCGGCAGGTGCCAGTTCTGAATGAGGTGCTCGACCTCGTCGAGAGAGGCCTGCTCGGCCTTGCGGTTCTCCTCGACGTGCTCCTCGAGCGGGTACTTGAGCTGCGGGAAGGCGGCTTGAGGCCAGTCAAAGGCGGGAATGTCAAGCTTGTGGATGGGCTTGGAGCGCGTCGTGGACAGGGAGCCAAAGAGACGGCCGTGAAAGGCCGTCTTGAAGGATAGGATGGACAGCTGGGCGGCGCCGGGCGCCTGGTTGTTCATGGATGAGGTAAGCTCTTCCTCGGTAAACTCCACGTCAGGCCCGCCACGCTCGAGCTGGCGGCGGTAGATGAAGGCGGCCTTGTAGGCGAGCTCATTGGCGTCGGAACCGGCTAGCGCGGTGAAGACATTGCTCAGACCCTTGGGAGCGACCTTGAGGATGCCCGTTTTAAGGATCTCGGCCCAGTCACTGGAGGGAAAATTTCCCAGCGCGGGGCGATTGATGAGGGCGTTGACCATTTGCGGGCTGGAAGCGGCCTTGGCAAGGTGCGCATTGTTGTAACCAACGGGGATGGAGGCAATTTGCGCATAGCTGCAAGTTTTCTATGTTAGTTGTGAACTCTTCTTGGCTGAGTTCTTATGTATATAGGCTCTGCTGGGGCAACGTACACATCAAGCATCATGTTGCCATCAGGGTCGGCAATGTAATTGCCAATGCTCTTGCTGTAGTCGGAGAGAAAGTTGACGCTGCGCGTGTCAAAGACCTGGTCGAGCTCTGAAATGGCCTTTTTGCCGTTGGGACCGGGAATCGCAGTCTTGACAGTAGGCGCCTCGGGCTCCTCCGGGAAGAAGCTCTTGGACGAGGCGAAGCGCATGGCTCCCGGGACGACGGCGGCGGTGCGCAGAGGCAGCGACCCAGTGGCGGCGGCGCCTCGACCGACGGCAGATCTAATGGCGGCGGCCATTATGACGGAGACGAGGGGGTATCCTTTGTTTCAAGGCTATATATGACGGAACAAGAACTGATAGACATTAGCGAGGATTGGGACTGCTTTGTGTAGCTACTGAGACGGTGTGTCGAGGTCGTGGCCAGTGACAGACAGGAAGGCGCCGTCGGCGTCATGCTTACCTAGGCTGATGCACGATGACGGCACCGACGCTCTCACTGTTTTCTCGCTCGACTACCAGACTGAAGCCACGAGCTACCGTTTCAAAACAGGGAGAGAGAAAGAGGTGACGAGAATGCAAGAAGAAAGGAGTGTTGTTGAGAAGGAGGAGGCAAGACAAGAGGGAGACGGAACTCGGAGGGAAACCCGGCGAGAGACGGCGGGGTTGGAGTAGGACCTTTTTTTTTTTTGGCAGGACCCAACGAGGCACCACAGCTCCCATGTTGCGTATTGTGTGGGGTAATTCTAGAACCCAGACAGTCTCAACAGCCACTCATAAGGCTGCTTTTGAGTGGGCATGTAATGTTGGTTAGAGGGCGCATTTTCTTACTTGGTGGAAATAAAAAGAAAAACGACAGCACAAGACCCAAACGTGTCTTGTTCATCACCAGCTAGGCCACCGGTTGGCTGCCGGAGGGCGGCAGGCCGGGACTGTGCAGTGGCTGGGTGGGTGGATGCCGGGGGCAGGCTTTAGTGGGGTTTTGCTGGAGAAGCAACCCCGCGAGACTGGGTTTTTGGTGGGTTCAAGGCCCTGTTCTTTGGGGG